GAACCAGACGCGTCAGTTTTGCATGGCAAAGATCCCTTTCCTATCCACCAGGCATCCTGGTGTGAACGTTTTTAAAAGCTTTTTCTAGTTACCAGCAATGCTCCTTCTAAGCTGTGAGCAAAAATTCTACTTTCTGAGTTACTGGCATTAAAGTTGTGAGTGATTTGGCTACTGCATAAATTAGTTTGCTCTGGAGCCATCCTTCTTGAGCTAAGACAAAAATGTGTGAGCTGGAGGCTAAAAAACTGCGAGCTAGCTCACACTAACTCAGCTTAGAGGGAACACTGGTTACCAGCAATGCTCCCAGGCACACAGGCCAGGGTTCTCCTAGCACAGTGCAAAGACTGTACAACTTAAAACAACCGGGAATGGATGTGGGGACAGATCAGAAGTGAATCAAAACTATAGGCAGTCGGATTACTCAGAGTTTTAAATTTTTGCTTTAAAAACAACTCCCAGCTTGGGTGAAGAGCAGGACAGTTGTGAATCAGTGTTCCCTCTAAGCTGAGTTAGTGTGAGCTAGCTCACAGATTTTTTAGCCTCCAGCTCACACATTTCTGCCTTAGCTCAGGAAGGAGGGCTCCAGAGCAAACTAACTGATGCAGTAGCCTAATTGCTCGCTCACAACTTTAATGTCAGTAGCTCACAAAGTAGAATTTTTGCTCACAAGACTCCAGTTTAGAGGGAGTGTTGGTTGTGATGGGGGGGGAGTTAAGCCTCCCTCCCTCTCTCCAACAGTGTTTCCCTGATCTAAAGCTGCTAAATCTCCCCACCACCACAACCATGGCTCCTGCTGTGCACCCGTAGAGTTAACAAATACAGGCACAATTCAAAGACATACTGTAAGGTCCCCAGCTAAATCACACTATTGGCAGCGAAATGGTTATTAGAGAGATGCTTGCTGTAGGTTCAAGAACTCTTGTTAGGACGGAAGAAAACCGCGGGAACTTACAGGTTCTAGGTAAAAGCATAAAATTCCACAATAACCCACGTCACACCTACCCCCCCAGCGTTTCTATGGCAACACAGACAGATATATGGTGCACTATCTAACCTAGACATGGCACACAAGATTCACCAAGGTTTGGGCCAGGAAATCTGAATTTTCCACCCACACAGCAGCCATGTGGGCTTTACTTAGATCTTCTGCAAAACTTTGGAGCAAAGCAGGTTTGAGAGAGACCGGAGAAAGGGGGGGGGATCCACAAATGTGCTACGATGAATTTGGAAGACACTTGGGTCACCTTCGCACCCAGTAGGAAGCAGCTGTTGGTCTGAATCCATCTCCATCTAAAAAGCCCATTCCTCTTTGGGCGTGTGCATGGGGTGGTTGCATTCCAAAACCAGCTGCCCACAACCTCCGCAGCCTGATCTGTCGGCACAGTGGTCTCGCCTTTCTTTCTTTCCAATACAGCCACTCCTGTGACACTCCTCAACTTTGAGCCCGGCTCCATTAGTCCGGTGTGTATCTCAGGGGGTCTTTGTTTCTCCAGCCATGGTTGAGGGGAGTTTAGATGTAGAACATCTAGAGCACTTTAGTCAGTAACTCGTTATGAATGTTTTGTACTGTTGGATTTTAAATGGTTTTAATTATGTTTTATATTGGCGTTTGCCCCTATGTAAGCCGCCCTGAGCCCGCATTGCGGGGAGGGCGGGGTATAAATTGAATTAAATAAATAAATATACCATACTACTGCACCGTTTCTAAGCAGGGTTAATCAGAGATCAAGGTATGATGGACAAGAGCGTGTCTGTTGTGCCAGAGGTGGTGGCACACATCCCACTAGGCGTGCCTACACAGTGGGAGAGTGGCCTCGCCTTGATCCTGGTCCAATTGAGTTTAAGGTCTGGCTGATGCCTTCCCCGTCATTTAAAAAGCAAAGCATTTGAACAATTTTGTAAAGCCTTTTTTGATAGCACTTTACCCAGTTCCACTTAACAATAAAGGCTCCAAGACTGAGCGCTGCTTCAACCTTTTCAAAGCCAAGACATTTTTGTACTTCACTGGGGATTGGATGGGAGGGAGGGTGTGTGCCTCTGACCCACAGGGACAGAGGCTAGTATTTGGCAGCCTGATATCCCACCCCTTTTTAAATTAAAATGTTTCTAGCTCTTCTGCTTGCTAACAGAAACAATTTACGTGGCGGTAGACTTTGCTGCAGTGGCTCAAGCGGTTAAGGCGCTGAGCTGCAGGCTGGAAGGTCAGTAGTTCAGCAGTTCGAGACCTGAGTGCCACCTGACGGAGTGAGCTCCCGTCTCTGGTCCCAGCTCCTGCCAACCTAGTAGTTCAACAGCAAGTGGTGGGAAGGTTAACAGTGTTCCGTGCGCCTCGGCATCTAGTCATGCCGGCCACATGACCACAGAAACATCTTTGGACAGTGCTGGCTCTTCGGCTTGCAAACGGAGATGAGCACGGCATCCCTAGAGTCGGATTCAACTGGCTTTTGAGCAAGGGAAACCTTTACCTTTACCTAGAAGCGATAGGGGCAAGCGGGTGGCATCTCTTTGCCTGACTGGTTTCCTGGCTTTTCTTCCTCCTCGCCCCCTTCTTTGTTCATCTGCCCACACCGTCCCCCCTCTGCAAAGTTCTAAATCCAGGTCTTGGAAGAGTTATATGAAATACCTATTAGAAAACCACAAGCTTAGAAAACCAGTTGAAGGAGGTCCAAGCAAAACGCAGGCCTGGCCTGTCTCTTTGTAGCCGAGAACCTAAATAGGTGACACTCATGCTTGACGTAGCATTGCAGGCAATGCTCCCTCTAAGCTGTGGAGTCTTGTGAGCTGCTGACATTGAAGTTGTGAGCAAGCGATTTGGCTACTGCATAAATTAGTTTGCTCTGGAGCCATCCTTTCCTGAGCTAAGACAAAAATGTGTGAGTAAGAGGCTACAAAATTGTGAGCTAGCTCACACTAACTCAGCTTAGAGGGAACACTGCTTGCAGTTCCTTTGGCATAGTAGCTCTGAAGAGAACACACCATCCCTGCAGTGTCCTGCACCAAGTATTCCACAGAGAGTAATCTGGGCTAAAGGGACAAAAGCTTGTGAGGTTTCTGTATGAATCCTTGCACCAATAAAACAAGAGGAACCAACTTTCCTGTTCAGGAAGCTGTGTGGACGAGAGAACTCGTAGCGGGGGAATCCCAGGCATGCTTGCTAAGAGGCAGGTCCCTATGCCACAGAGTAGAGCCGTTCCTCAGAAATATGCACATCAGACTGCAGCTTTTAGCACTTTGGACTCCATTATACAGAATTGAACCGACCAGATCCTAGGAAATGTCAAACATCTACAACTCTCCAAGTTCAGGGAGCCTTCACTAGACAAAAACAAGCCGTTTAAGGCCTCAAGACTGCCTCAATCACTATATCATCTATACTATCTAAATCACTATGGCTGGTAACCAGTGTTCTCTCTCAGCTGAGTTAGTGTCAGCTAGCTCACAGTTTTTTAGCCTCCAGCTCACATTTTCGTCTTAGCTCAGGAAGGGCGGCTCCAGAGCAAACTAATTTATGCAGTAGCCAAATCACTTGCTCACAACTTTAATGCCAGTAGCTCACAAAGTAGAATTTTTGCTCACAAGACACCACAGCTTAACTCCAGTTAGGCACCTGGCATGGCTATTCCTGGATTTTCCATTTTACTAACACAGGACAATTTTAAAAAATGGACACACAAACATTTTGGATATCTGTGGACTGCATCTCAAAAAGGCCATCAGAGCTAGAAATGAGCCAGTTTGGTGTAGTGGTTTTTGATTCCCCACTCCTGTAGAACCGTGTGATTCCCCACTCCTCCTCCACATGAAGCCAGCTGGGTGACCTTGGATCAGTCACAGTTCTCTCAGAGCTCTCTCAGCCCTACCTACCTCACAGGGTATCTGTTGTGGGGAGAGGAAGGAAAGGCAATTGTAAACTGCTCTGAGACTCCTTTGAGTAGTGAAAAGTGGGATATAAAAACCAACTCTTCTTCTAATGTCTAAGCAGTTAGAGAAACTTCCCTATAAGAAAAGCCTAAAGCACCTGGTCTGGCAAAATAAGATGACAATGAGCAGAGCGGGATAAGAGGTTTATAAAATTAGTAACAGTCACAGTAGACAGTAGAGTTAAACCTCTTCCTCCCTGCAGCCCAAATCAGAGGCCCCTACAGCTACTACTTAACAATACAAGACTCTAATAAGGTCATGGATGTTAAAATATCTCATCTACTTTGATCCTGATGGAAGTTTTTATCCCTTGTAACGCTGGATCTCAGCAGTCACCCCAATGAAAGCAATGAATAGTCACTTCAGGGCTAAGACAAAGGCGGTACTGAACACCCCCCCTCCCCCCTGTGGGGTTGAGCGGTGTTAGCCGACAAACAGAAGTCCAGCTCGCAAGATGGAAAGCCTAGAGAGATCTTCTCCGCTTGAAGAAAGCCTGTAATGGGCCGTTCCGGCCAGGTGGTGGCAGTGCGGCGCTACAACTCGAAGGAGTCTGGAGAAAGCTGACGCCATCAAACCAGGCCGAGGAAAAATGCTGATCGGATCACGTCTCATCTTCAACTGAAAGAAAACCCTCGTTGGCTGCAAATGTGTGTAATTTAAGATGTATATATGTTGTCCTCCCTTACCCCACAAATCATTGTTAGTCCCTCGTACAAATGAGTAACTGTAAATCGCTCAGAGCCAGCAAGCTCTGCAGGATTGAGCGATCAATAAATTGAAAGATTATTATTATTTTATTATTTTACTCTGGGACAATGCACACACCTGATGAACTTGTGGCATTCACTCTTACAAAATGGGATAATACCCATTAGCAGAGATTTCTTTAAAAAAGAGGGCTGTCCTCCATAAATCTATCAACACAGCTATGGCAGCCAAATGGAACCCCCAAGTCTAGAAGCACCAGGCCCCTTGTCATGATGCCTATAGTAGTGTGGCCTACAGGCTCTGGGGAGGCCTAGTGGCTCTGCAGAAGCCTGTACTAGAGTAGCTATCAAGGCCTACATTTCCCAGGTCTCCTTTGGACTCTGTGATTGGTTAGCAGGGAATCTGGAGGGAAAGCTTACACCAGTAGAGGGTGGTGCCTGGGAAGAAGGGATCAAAGGCCTTGCCCAAAGTGGAAGATGGTTCACTCCTAGGGAGCAGAGGTGGGGAAAGGCTGCTGCAGACGGAGGAATCCCTCATCCAGGAAGGGGGGAGTCAGCTTGAAGCCAGTCACCAAGAGACAGCTAGGAACAGTCTAGACAGAGGTGTTAGGGTGTTTTATTTTGTTTGCTTACCTACCTTTACTGTTCTCAATATTTTACATGTTACTTGAATTGCAGTTGTTACTAGATATCTTAAACAGCGTCTATTATTCTGCCTGGGTCCTCATGCCTCATCCAGTCCCATATAAAGTATACCCTATTGGGCAAGAGTGGATAAGGGGTCAAGGTGGGTGCTCTGGGCATCCCAAGGAGATCCATACCAGAGTGGTGGCAGCCTATGGAGAGCCTCCCTAGTCACTGCCTGCGATGTCCCTGAATGACTGATAGTGAAGTCAGAGCAGGGGCTGGCCACTGCCTTCACGCCCTGCTTATGCAGCTCCCCGGAGGCATCCAGCTTCCGACTGCTGGAAACAATGCTGGACTGAATGCAAATTGGCCTGGTGGAACAAGGCACTTGCATTATCTGTACCGAAAGAGAATTTATAGGTCAGCTGAAAGAACAGCAAGGTTCCTTGAGTGGGAATAAAAGTATCATTATAAATATCACAACACGCAGCTGTTGCAGTTCTCCCATGTAATGAGATCAAACGTGTTACATACGCGGGCAGTAACCAGAGTCAGACTGTTAGGCAGGAGCCCTTTCATAGGGGATAAGTGCTGGATTTGGGAGTATGATGCCTTCCATGTCGACTATGAGGTGACTAGGTATAGGGCCCCCTTCTCCCATTCTTCAGGATGGGATCATGCCTTTGTTACGCTTTCTGTCGGCCATGGCTCGCCGGTTATGGTTAGCCCTGGCCCCCTTGTTGGCTTCTTTTTTCCTCCGCTCCTGTACTGTCTCTCGGCTCTGGCCATGTCCTTTGGCGCCACCAGCAACAGCTGCTGAGTTGTCTGGCTTATGCCTGCAGCAGAAGGAAAGTAAAACCTTTGTCACATGTTCTGCACCAGGTAGCTGGAAGAATCAATAAATGTTTCTAGCCTTTTTTACTGGAAGAGAGATTTAGGCCGATCCACGTGTCTCTAACAGTAAGCAAAACAAAATCATGATGAAAGTAAGGAAATGCGAACAATCATATTGTTAAGGACACTGGAACAGACAACAAAAAATCCCTCTATTTGATTATCTTATTTATAACCTGCCCCCCTTTTTCACTGAGACATATGGAGTACAGAGAGAGACAGAAAAATCATCAGATGAACAATTCAACCACAGAAGGAGGTGGTGGGCACTTTAAGTGACAAAGCTGTCAAAAAGATTACTGAAGGTGGAGAGAAAGACATTTCAGAAAAAGTGGAACAAATGCTTTGCAACGGGGTGTTCTCTCCAGATGATGTTGCAGAAATGCCCATGTCTGTGCCACTGTTTTCAGGGAAGACATTTTAAAAATAAATAAATGACTAAGTCACTGAGGGCAGACAGTAACTTGTTATTAAGGAACTTGAGTGGGAAATGGTTGATCTTCCAACCAAAATATGAGGCTGGTTACTAAACCTGGCCTTCTTGCTAGAGGAATGGAAGGTAGCCAATGTAGCTTCAGTTTTAAAAAGAAGATATATACCTGACTGGGCTTCATGGGGCAAGAGTGACAGCACTCTGCCAAAGGTCACAATATGCAAGATTTGACAGAGGTGGCAAAAGGGGGGTTGCCAACTACAGACATCAAGGCCCATAGCTTTTATTTCTCAGATAACCAGGTTCTTTGGTGCCATCACCAACAGGAAGCGGTGCTGTTCCCTTCTAGCTATCATCCCACAAAGCAGGAGTGTGTCTCACCCTTTCCGTGCAAGGAAGGTCATCCGCCTGGCTTCAGCTCGCTCTCTCAGCACTGCCGGATCCTGCACAAAGTGGTCCTGCCACAGAATACAAAGAACATTCTATTTATTGAGATTTTGACAGGGGGAGGGCGGCTGTCAAAAAAGTGGTTCTGCTCATGAATTCTAGAGGTGATACAGTTTATGAGAGGAAAACAGAAAACAGCATGTTCAAACTGGCTACCAGAGGACTATCATGAAGACAAAATGTGCAGCGGATATACCAGAACGTATTACTGCAGCTGGACAGAATTCTAACTAACTAAAATTACCAGTTTGAGCGTATGGTTTGTCTGCACTCAAACACAGCACTTGACATGCTTGCTGTTTTGTACCAGCAGGTGGGAACTTCCAATATTTTACTCAAAACTGGCCCTAGTTGTATGTTTTTTTGGCAATCACACTCAACACTGGTCCATCTATCTCAGTTTCATCTAGTCTGCCAGAGAGCTGCTCTCAAAACATTCCGACAAGGTTCTTTTCCAGCCCTGCTACCTGCAAATGACCCAGAGGTCTTCAACATGCAAGGCAAACCATGCTCTCAGCTAGGAAGATTAACCCAGTACTATCTCAGTGCTCCCCCCACCCCCCGCCCCAACAAGACAATATTTCTTTTCTTCAACCAACCTGCTAGGAAGGAAGCTGGTGGATAATTTCCTAACTGAGCAAAACATTCGGAAAGTGACAGGAAGCCAAGAATAGATAAATGGCTTTTGAAAAGCTTGGAAGGTTATTATTATGAGCAAATTAACTACTATAATCAAATTCAGACAGGGAGAAAAATAAAGTTGTGTTGGAATTTTTGGAGCTTCAGAAAGAAAAAAAAGAATATAAATGAACATAAGGACTCACATCCACAGCAATTTCCTGAGATAAATGGAATGTACCTTCTGTTTGCATACAGCTGTATAAGACAGTTAATATCATATTGCTTTTGCTTTTATACATACATTTATTAAAGTATTTTTAAGGAAAGCACTGCTAGTTTCAGCACTGCCGTGACAGCCTTTAAAATAAGGCAGCCTTAATGCAGAGCGGCCCCACTGTCCACAGATTCCTTACCCCTACTGCATTCAGACATGAACATTTCTCCATTTCAAAGAAGTGTCCACTTAGTGTTAATACAATGATTATCAAGGCGCTCCTTCACTTTCAGCCTTATAAGGAATCTGTGTATTTCACCTGGTGTCAGGCAGATCAAAGGAACTCTGTTGACCTTTGTCATTCCAGTAGAGAAACACGATTTGTTTGTTTTTCTCTCTCTCTTACACAGAAGAACTTGAATGCAGCCATAGATCAAGGACACCAATGTATCTGATATTCAGTGTTAAGAATGTCAATGACAGAAGTCCTTCAAAATCATGGCCTGGAAAATATTTTTCTCCCCCACATCCTTTTTTATTTTTTACTTTGTCACCTCCAGCCTGAAGAAGAGTTCTGCTGTATTCAAAAGCGGGCATACTGTTCATTGCAGTTGTTCCTAATAAAAGGTACTACACAGATCTGTTCTTATTTTTGGGTTTTGAGCTTTTTGGGCAACAGGGATGAGGTTGGAGAGGATAGATTTAGGCTGCAGACTTACATACCTGCTGTCTCACACCCGGATAGAGTAAGGAAAGAACAAGAGTCCAGTAGCACCTTAAAGACTAACAACATTTGTGGCAGGGTATTAGCTTCTGTGAGTCAGTTCTCAATTCTTCAGATCTAACAAAAGCTCATACCACAAATTTTGTTAGTCTTTAAGGTACTACTGGTCTCTTGCTCTTTTCTACTGCTACAGACAGACTAACATGGCTACCCATCTTGATCTATCACCCTGACAGTGGAACATTTCCAGCATTCATGGTAGCAAGAGGCCTTGTTCTATAAAAGGAAACCTTCTCTTGATAGCCTGTCAGAGTAGTGATCAGAGAGTGGGCCTTGGGAATCCACCAAGAGGTAGGATGTCTCAGAAGCACAGTTATGTTGAAACTGGTCATTGTGAGAAGATGCTCTGAGTTCATGAGTTAAACCTGTCGTACATAGCACACAAAGTGCCCTCCACGCCTGGCAATGCCTCACTGCCTGCTAATCCCACTGGTCCTAGCCAGCCACCTAGTGAGGATGAAGGCAGAGGATTCCACAATGCTGCTATTCAGAACAGCTGACTTGGTGCAGTGCAACCAACCCATGCATCACTCTTTAAATAGTGAGGGCACAGACTTGGTTGTAAAGGCCAGAGAGGCTGCTGTGGCTTTGTGGAAGAAGGGAGGGGACTATGGAAGCCTTCTGCTCAGCCTGGAGCCAGGAGGAGAAGGAAATGACAGAAAGCAGCTCCTCTTGGGCAACCTCTGCTGATCTTCACACCAAACCAGCAGTATGCAAAATGAAAGCATCACAGTGCAAGCCTTCCTCACACTCAGGGTTAAGAGCAGCATGGTAAAAAAAATACTGTCGCTCATACTCTGCCTTGTCACATCAGCAACAGCAATGCAAGTGCCTACTCCATGACCTTTGCTACCCCCTTGCAAATCAAATCACCTTCGTAGCTTCCTTTGCATTTGTTTCCACCTCTTCTTCCTCTTCCTCCTCCTCCTCTCCCTGCTCTTTTGACCTCAGCACCTGAGGGATGGTAAACGGCCTACAGGGAAGGGGTGGGGTGGATTAGGAGAGAGAATACAGTGAGAATTTCAAGGTGAAAAATCCACAGTGACAATTCCCATGAAGTTTAGCCCTGCCCGAAGATGTGCATCACACAAACAAGGAACTCCTCCATTTTTTACCACTGGTAGAGATTGGCATGTGCTCACCCCATCTAAAAACACCCTCAAGCTGGTGGTAAACCCAGCCTTGTTGAGACCAGCAAGCTAGCAAGAAGAGGGAAGCACACTTGGGGGGCTTTTAATATGCATCCACATTTTAGTGGGGTTTTATTTTACTTTACTCTTAATATTCTTGTTCACATCATAAGCAACCTTGGGGGCCTTGTAAAAGGCTGAGCTGCAGATTTAAATACAAAAATAAGTAAACCCAGCCTTGTTGAGACCAGCAAGCTAGCAAGAAGAGGGAAGCACACTTGGGGGGCTTTTAATATGCATCCACATTTTAGTGGGGTTTTATTTTACTTTACTCTTAATATTCTTGTTCACATCATAAGCAACCTTGGGGGCCTTGTAAAAGGCTGAGCTGCAGGTTTAAATACAAAAATAAAACCCAGTTTTGATAAACCCTTCCTCCTCATGTATCTTGAATGTCATATTATCAAATGTTAATTTGATGTCTGATCAGTGGACTGGGGAAAAATACGTTAAATAATTACCATCTCCCAAAGTTCCCAACAGAGGAGGCTTCCTTTGGCATCTCTGTATGAGTCACTCCTCTGGCCCTGTTTTCTCTTCCACTCAGATTTTCTGGGGCACTTCTGTGCCGGGCGCTACCAGTGCATTCCACCAGCCGATACACAACAAAAAGACCCACTCTCAGAGGGGTCCACTCCTTGCATCTCTACCCAGGTCTCCCAATTCTAGTCCAAAACCCTGATCCAGCGCTACTCAGTCTGTGGCTTGCAGAGAACCTCATTTGCAATTTCCGGAAACTAAAATAGCTACATGATTACAGTATGCCCTGTTTATCCTGTGCACCACCCAACCGAACATACACATATAAGATACAACTTTTTAAATATGTAACTATGACCACAGCTGCATCCACATGAGTGAATAAAGTTGACCTGTTCCAGACATGACCACAGTTTAGCAATGTAAGAGGCAGCTACAGCCTCAGTCAATGAAAACCACCTGCTTGACGTGAATCTAGAGGCTGATTCATTGAGTGGGCACATATCAGCAGGATTGATTCAAATCAGTAGGTATTGTGAGACACTTCATGTAGCAGTTGATTGACATTTTATATGAAGCAAATCACTGCGTAACTTGAGAAACAGCCTTGCTTGCTTTATTTGTAATACCTAAGGTCTTTTTACCGATGTCTGACTGTATGTTGATCTTTTATAAGAAAGGAATTCAGTGCTTAGATTGAATCTCTTCTTACCAGGCAACGTTTTTCAAATCCCAATCTGGTCTTAACTATAAGCATAAAAACAAGTTCTGTCTTTGCTGCTCTAATGTGCATATGGGCCATGACATAGGCCAGGGGTGGCCAAACTGCAGCTCGGGAGCTGCATGCGGCTCTTTCAAGCAGTCTAATTTAACATTAATAAAAAGCAAATGTGCGTATTTTTCAATAAAAACGTCTGTGTGATATCTGTTCATGCCTTGCGACTCTCAAACATCTGACGTTTATTCTGTGTGGCTGTTACGTTAAGCAAGTCTGGCCACCCCTGACACAGGCCAATCCACGGGGAGCTCCCAACTCACCTCCTACTGATCAGCTCATCGTCTGAATCGGCATCATTTGCTCCCACCTGGTTGCCATCATAGGTATCATCATATTCATCCTCATAATCGTCCTGGTAGAAAAGGCCTTCTCCACTCTGCTCTGTGACCTCCTCCACTATCACAGAGTACTGACTGTAGCGCTCCCTCTGTTCAGCCACAATGCTCTTGTCATTCAGTAAACCTTTGGTTGTGGCTTTGTCACTTCTGTAGGTCAAGTATTGACAGCAAAAAAAATAAAAATAGTTCCATTTGGTCTCACTTATTGCACTATGAAAAAAGTGAAGTTATCAAGTGCCAGAGATACAATTCACTGGCTTTGTGAACTCTTCTTCCTATTTGCTAGAATTCATTAATAACTAGGCACATGAACCACACCTATATACAATCTGCTCTTTTGCAAGATTTTCTTCTGCCTTTGCCATCTATATTATCTTGCAATGGATGCCATGTGGGCTTACAGGCATTTTGCTTTTACAAAAGCCCATCAAAAGAGATTCATCCCAGAATGGCAGCTAAGTTAGCTGTTTGTTAGTTAAGTTAGCGAAGTTAATTTACTTGTAGTTTGCATCCACAGATTCCTTCACACAACTGCATACTACCATGTGGAGAAAAAGCAATGTAAAACAGGATGAAGACACAAGGGACCAGGAACCATCTTCCACAATGTACATAAAATCTACCCCAAAGGTTTGGGGTGCCTGCTCATCCCACTTTAACCCATTTTTATCACCCCAATCTGAGGGAGGGAGCCTCGTAGCACCTTCACTCAATTGATTAGATGAACTTTCCCCTTCCCCTTTCCCCTTTTCCTCAACTCTTAGAACTGAAAATGACTTGTCTGACCATTATGAATCTGGAAGAAAAATAAAGTTGAACCTCACATATGAGCTGTGAAAGTTAGGAGGACCTGTCTAAATGTTCAAGTACATGAACAAGATTGTTTGAAATTTTATATTGTTTGAAATTTTATAGTCTTTTAACCTGCCTGTCTTGACCCCTCTTTCCCCTTAGCTCTGTGCATCCTGACAAACCACTTGCCAGCCCAGACACCTTCCCCACAGGCCAAACTGCTTTCTCAAGTTACTAAAGGGATTGCTGGCTCCTCCTGTCAAGGGAAGAAAGGGCTAACTGAGGAAAGAAATGGCGGCAGCCTACTGAGGCTGATTTCCCACAAGCGCTGCTCCGCGCTTGCTCTTCCCTTTTGCCCCATGGTACGTGTCAATTTCACACAAGCTGCTGCGTGGCCGCATTTTGCCCCACAGCTTTGCGCGAAAAGAAAGAGGAGAGATAAATCCTGACTCAAGGGGAAGCTCTAATTCTCCACAGGCCTATGCTCCATGAGTCTAAGACTTTTAAAAGTTATTTAAGTCTCTAGGCCATCAGCACCTCTTGTGGAAATGAATCCTGTGTGTTAAGGATGTCTGTCCTGAATATTAAATGTACTGCCAATCAATTTTACTGAATGCCTCCTAGTTATGCCATAAATGTATTAAAAAGCTATTCCAGTTCAAGACGTAGTGGTTAAGAGTGGCAGACTCTAATCTGGAGAACCGTGTTTGATTCCTCACTCCTCCTCCACATGAATCCAGCTGGGTGACCTTGGGTCAGTCACAGTTCTCTCAGAGCTCTCTCAGCCCCACCTACCTCACAGGGGGTCTGTTGTGGGGAGACAAAGGGAAGGTGATTGTAAGCTGCTCTGAGACTCCAAGTGAAGGATGGGGTATAAATCCAACTCTTCTTCTTCTAAATGTATATATTCAATAAAATAAATAATATCCTGCCTATTTTCTGAACCAAAAAGCCTGCACAGCACTTTAACTTCTTGCAGGGAGGGTGCTACAAACCCTTGATTCTATCAACTGCCCTTTTCTGGGCCTTCTCTAGCTTTGCAATATTCCTTGCAGAAAGCTGTACATACACGGCCTTCCTCCTCCTCCTTTAATCACGTACATTCCGAGAGGGAACAATTCATTCTACATGCTGCTATATGAAGCCACAGGAAGCATTGAGATGCAGAGGCGTGGGAAGCAGGAATCCCTAAAGTCAGGGCCTCAGGGGAATCCAGCAGGCAAGGAATCGAGCTTACATAACCAAGAAGTGGGCATTTTTAACATATTTCTTTTAAGCATTTTTAGGCTGCTTTTCAGATAAGATCAATGCTACCTGCTACCTTGCAAAACTTAAGCCTGACCTGGACGTGTTTATAGCTCTGCTTGGTCAAGGAAGACCAATGGACTACCTGGGAAGGAGAGTCACCCAGGTGCTCAGAGGAGGCAGTGCATCTTTGGAAACATTTCAATCTGCAGCCCTGAATGGCTACCACATGGGGCACCAGACAGCTCCAAAAAGTTCCCCCTTCTAGCCCCAGTGAAGCCATGGGAATCACAGATGCCTGCATGGATATGACTTACTGAATTAAGTCTCTCCCAGGAGTGCTTAAGCAATTCCGGCTGCAGCAATTTAGCAGCATCCACCAGAATGAAAGCAGCCACAGGAGGCTGAAATGAAGCAGGGAGTTTCAAGGGATGCCAGATGCAATTAGTCAAATTGAAAATGGGCAGGGACTCTCAAGGACAGGGCGTCCTGCATCCATGAATGGAGTGGATGAATCTGGCAGTGAAGATGCATTTCCAGGTATACAGCGCCCCCTAATGTCGTCTACAAATACCTTGTTCATTACAGCTAAACACCAGATCATTGTAATGTGCACTATTACACAGACGCAAAACGCCAAGTTCCAACAACCTGTGGCTATGGAACAGTGCAGCAGCAAGTGAGTACTTAGAAACAGATGGGCCAGCCAAAACAGCACCACCACTGGCCCTTAATCTAAAGGCAAAAAATAAAATAAAATAGCTGGGAGGGGCAGGGCTATAGTGCTAGGGAAAGGTTAACTCTTTTCCCATCCCATACTTAGAATCAGAAAGTGCTTTCCTGGGCTGCTTTTAGCCCTGATGTTAAGCCTGCCCATTCATCTCAGTTCTGAGCAGCTATATATGCCATTTGGTGCACTGTGCAAGAATGGACATATGGTGTCACTCTACTTAGGACTTCACTGTAAGACACCCCGATTACTTTAAAAAAACAGGCCATTTTGTACAGCTCTCTTTCTCTCTCTCAGAAGGAAATATTCAGATTAACCCCCAAATGGTTTAAATGTTTTCAGACCATCTAATAAGTTTAAATTGCCCCAAATGTAGCCCAAGAGACACCAACCACTAGAGAAATCTAAAAACATCACATCTTTGCAACCAATAGTCCAAACCTGGGGGCTATATGAATTTTGCCTTGTCGTGGAGGCCAGATTTCCTGTATGGAGAAAGCCAAGCTGCACATACATGGCATGTTGGGCTGTGCTGCTTCTTCATGCTCACATACATGGGAGGTGCAATTTACAGCAGTAGCTAGGAACATAATTTATGCTTTGCAATATTCTTGCATTAGTCACTAAAACACACACACACACACCGCTGCAATCACATAATGATACAACTTTTTTTCAGCGGAAGCGGAGGACATTCATGAATTTGTATTCTGCTCCAGGATACTAGTATCCTTGCTAAAGGACATGAACATGAAATCACATAGAAGACAGCATCTCCCATGCCTTGCAAACCCTGGCAAGTAACATTAAACCCATGTTATAACTGGGAAGCCACGACACACCACTTACACCAACACAGACAGAAACGGACTTATTTTAAAGTCATTTAAGTTTCATTTCACACAACCCGCTCTATTTTTGCCAACATGCATATGCGTTGTAGCTGGTGAAGTGAGCTGTCCAACTGCCAAATGGCACAATGAGAAAAAATTTACAGCAATGACTGGGTGTGAAAACGTTTGGCAAAACTCATGCGACTTGGGTTGTGTGGAAAGACTTTATTATGACTAGAGCTGGGAGCTTCCCAATCTGCATGGTAGTGACCCTTATGGAAGGGCACAGATATATAGAATGAAAGGCAAAATGGGCAATATTATCATACTGTAGACATTACAGCCAGCTCAACAGCTCTTACGGACCTGGTCTAGCTGTCAGTGTTCCCAGATCAGGCTCAAGTCTTGGCCTGGCCATCTTCCTACACCTGCCTCCAGATTTCTCTGCACAAGTGCCACTTTCTGTGCGCTTTACTTCCCTTGGTTTAATAGCTTTTATTCCAGCCAACAAATGATTTTTTGTCTGCCTTTTCTGCACAATGCCTTAAAACGTCCCAACCAATGGCACCTAGAACATGCCAATAACATTGGCTCCTAATCCTGCAGATACTCATTCAAGAGCACCTTTGGCAGCTAACTCTTCTTATCAATGCTGAGCCCTTCCTGCTTTCATCAAGGCCTTACGTAAGCACTTCCTCTGCAAAACTATGTGGAAATCCCTTTTCTAAATTACACAGTTAGTAACGTTTTGCTCCCAGGAATGTATGTGTTACTTGGGTCTATGAGTTCCACATCTTTGCATTCTCCTCATACCAGTGGTGAAAGATCATGTCTCAGGTGCAGGTGAGTCTGGAATGACCAGTTTCCTGGGCCAGCACAGCTTAATGAAAGCCTTCCATGGAAGCGCAGGCAACTTACATGGTGCAGCTCCACCCCTTGCATCATTTCCATATAGCAATCACAATTACATGCAATGTTGAAGATTAGCTTTCAAGCACCTCTGTCTCACTGCTAAGTACTGCACTGTTGCCAGCACTGCCCAAAAGCTGGCTGCTCACCCCCATGAGCACATTTGCAATATCTGGCTTGTCTCACATGTACCTGAAGAGGTTAAAAAAAAATTCAAGTTGGTTCTCAGCAAAAAAAAGGCTGATGACAGTTCAGTAATTGCTTCCTGTCAAGCCAGCCAGCCAGCGTTGCAACAGAGCTGTTCAGAAATACAAAAGGCATTCACTGGTTCCAGAGGTGCTGCAGTATCTTTTATACGAGCGTTTAGTGCTGAACTGTACATGGTGCTTGGCATCTGCATCTGGATCCACAGATCCAAGTTAGCTGTGTGGGGAAATGGTGGTCAAGGCTGCAAGCTGGAGAACAGGAAAGCTAATTCACCCACCCACCCCCCAGACACACACACAGACAAAGAGTTTCATTTGAAGCACTGGGGAAGGGAAAAGACCAGCAAACTACAGGCAACTGTCCTGCTTCCTTTCTGGAGTTTAAAATGGGGAAGCCCAATAAGAGAAAGGGCCAGAAGGGGAAATCGTTAAACTGTCTTTCTGCAGAATTTCAACCCTGTTCTATATCAGGTCCTCTGTGACACCTTTTTGCAGCTAAAAATTACATACCTGGGGTTCTGAACATGGATCTGCAGTGTCACATGTCAGTCTGGAAGACCAAGATGATAAAAAAATTGACACGGCTCCTTACAGACTGAGACAACCTGCATGTCATGTCAGAGATCTGAGACTGCTCTCCTGACAATCACGCTCTCTTTTTTTAAACACCGAAATGCAACCATTGATGGAAGGGCTGCCAATATGTTCAGACCAGTGGCAGGGGGGGAGAGGATTCCACATTTTCCCCCTCAGAAGGCAAATCGTCACTGAGGGATTGTCATTGAGAAAATGGCATAGGGAAAACAGCCCCACTGTTGCATTCCGTGATACTGCAATCAGAAAACACTCTGAACAAAGAATAGCACTTCCAGTGGCTGAAAATACTGATACAACCATGTTTTCCTAACCGATCCCAAACTAACCAGCAAAGCCTTTGGAATTACATAAGGGATTCAGAATGCTTGTTATGAATGCCTGTGGGCACAGAACACATAACTCACCGTTTGCCTTTCTGTATCCGGGACATGTCCACAGAATCTTTGCTGAAAATATCAAATTCATCATTCTGGAAAATATTGCATCGTGCAGTGACTAGAGGGGTTGGATCTTGTTTCAATGGCCTGGAGGAAACAGGTCAGAAGCTCAGTATCTTGTCGTAAAGAACAAGGTACTGTGGCACAAAAACCCAGAAATCCTGGTGTTCTAACTTGGGACTGAATTACACATGAGAGCAGGCGTTCTAGCACCCGAATTCTCATTTTAAAAAAGAAAGCTGATGGGGCCTTTCCTCCCTGAACTATCGTCCCAATTTAGAATTACATCCACCCGTCCCAGGAACAGGAAACTGGCCTCTGGGGTGGGGAGGGCACAGAAACCCCAGGGAACAGGAGGAAGATTCTTACTGCCTGAAAGAAGTGTTTCAGATCCCCAGAATCTCAAGGCAGACAACAATACCTTAATTTAAAATGTCCAGAAACAACTTGGGCACACACTCCTTCTTCCCCCAATCAAATGTCTCCATAAAAAGGATGATGTTCCATGGCCATTATCCCCAAAAGTACACAAGCCATTCAAGCATTTGCTTTCAGAATGTCAAAAAGATGTTAAAAGGTAAAGAGCCTCTTTTAGCCCCACCTTGGCATTGCATGGTCCAGCTTCTGCAGGGATGCCACTAGTTTGTCTTCGAGAATGTTGTTGATCACCTGTTCAACATCATAGTTGTATTCTTCCAGGCAGACCAGGACAAAGCCCTCTCCAAGATCAGGTAACAAATCTTTCACTTGGGAGATCAGAGAATCCAGCTCTACCCCGGAGACCCTGGCTGATGGCATCACAGCTGCTCCAGCACACTAGGCAAACACAATAGGCAATATGTTACTTCAGTAGGATCACAGTACTTAAAAAGAAGCAGGGTGCAAAAAAACAGGGAGAAGAATGCCACAAAACAAACACCATTTAAACAAAACATGCAGAAAATCACTAAGTTCACCATGGACTCTTCATCTTTGCCAAAGAGATTTGAGTGCTTCTGGTTCAGCACCACAGAAAAAGACTAAGAGTGGAGAAGGCTTCCCAAGAAACCCTTGCTGCTATAAGCTGCTCTGCCCTGGAGGTCTTTTGCAGACCAGACCTTTTCCAAAGAAGCAGTCAACCCCAAGCATGAGGGACAAGATAAAATTATAAGCTGGAAAAGAAAGCTGGAAAGGTAGTCCAGGTAGAGGCAGCAGATACAGAGTGAGAAGAAGGTAGTTAGATTGGTGGGAATGGGGGGAGCAAGGGATGAAGTAGGAATAAGCAGAGGCAACATCTGTAAGATGCCAACAGCTGGTGCATTAGGGCTTCAAGTCTTCTATCTGGAAGGACAGGGAAGGGCAGAGACCAAAGCAAAAAGCTGATCGAGCTGTCAACGCTCCAGAAGGCCTATTGTTTTGCACAAGGATATAGTGGCTCCAGGAACAGAACTCCTGCACAGCTGCTGGAAGGCCTGCAGTTAAGAGTTTGACTACGGATAACAATCCTTATATATATATATTTTTTGGGGGGGACCCTTGCTGATCCTTGCCAGCCACCCTATTTGAGTTGAAGCACTTCTGGTGTGAAATTCAAGCAGACCAGACTAACCCTCATGAATGCATACATGAGCACTGTGACATAACAGGGCAGTTCATGTTGCCACCCTCACCTCTCCCTTCATGACTAAGGTAAGCCTAAGTGTATTCTGTGGACCCACCTCTACAGGATCTTCTATGAGCCTCTCCAGCCCCTTGTTGCTGCTGGGCGGTGTTGCTGAAGTTCCAGCTGTTTCTTCTGGCATGGATGGGCCTTTCGTCGTTTCTTTCCTCCTATCTACTCCCTCCCAGGCACCTTCCACAGCTTTCAGAATGTAAGTTGTCCGGGTTTCATCCCTACAAACGTGTGTTAAGGGCATGTTGCTAGTTGAAATACATAGTAAACTCAACCATCACCCACATCACCATTTGCACCCTTAATTTGCTTTTTGCCCCTCTTGTAATTGAGCCAAAGCAGAAACAGCAAACTGGCCAAGCGCAGACAGAAACTGTGGGCAACAGTCATCTCTACCAGGCTGTGGAAGCCTACTGAAACCATAGAGTTAGGGGAAGAACAGAACCAGAGATAACAGACAGCTCTCACTTCCTGTTTATGTCAGAAGGCTGCCACTGGGGTGTCAGAATCTGACACAGACAGGGAAGCCTGTGCAGAGAAAGGCTATATAGCAGAACCTCCAATGCTTCCTCTAAGCTGTGGAGTTTTGTGAGCAAAAATTCTACTTTGTGACCAACTGGCATTAAAGTTGCGAGTGAGCCATTTGGCTACTGCATAAATTAGATTGCTCTGTGAGTCAGAGGCTAAAAAACTGTGAGCTTGCTCACACTAACTCAGCTTAGAAGGAACACTGGCAGGGCTTATTATCTTTATCACAGCCTTGCCCATATTCCCTCCCACCCAAGCACATCAAGATGGTATCACTGTTTCTTATTTACTTATGCAGAGGAATTAAACCATGAACTTCCACTTAAAAAGCACTTGGGTGGCTTTCAAACAGAAGAAAATAATATAAATAAAACAATGAAGTAAAATGAAATTATGGGGACAGCAAAATAGAACAAAACAGTCAAATAGCAGAAGTTAAAAAACAGATACGGCTCTGAAACCGTAGAGCCTTTAAAAGAAGCCAGAGTTAAAAATATTAAACCAAAAACAAGATCAGCTTTGAGAAGAGAGCTCTTTCAATTCCATTTGAAAGCCCTTCCAGTAGGGTTGCCAACTGTCCTAGAGAAAAATGTCGTGTTCCTTTAATAAAATCTGTGTGGGAACATTTTTAATAGAGATGGGTAATGGACAACTCAAGCTTTTTATGACATGGAAGTAAATAATACCACTTGGTAAACAAGATCTCATTAAGCCTCTGTTAAAGGGATAGGACATATTTCCAGCAGGCAGTTGGCAATCTTACCCTTCAGAAAATAACATTCTTAACCAATCTTCAGAAGGCTATCAATGAGAAGGCATTTGAAACTCCAAAAAGAGAGTTCAAGAGCACAGGGAAGGCCCTGTCTGTGTGCTCAGCAATCCTATCTCTTGTAAAGCTTACCCAGAGAGAAGGCCAAGCTATGGATCTCAAGCTAAGGGCGGATTCACATGGGTGCAGGTTGTCCTACAGGCACTCAGATCCAAGGTCAGTAAGGGCTCTCATTACACATCCTAATTAGCACCCGAGTCTGCCACATCTGTGCCAGTTGCACATTTGCAAACATCTGCAAAGGCGGCTGCCACATAAAGCATTACAGTAGTCCAGTTTCAACATTGCCAAGGTATTTGCAACCAAGGCCTGTCCTGAAGCTTCCAGGAATGGTTTTAGCTAGTAATCTGGTTTAAACTGGAGAAAGACACTCCCAGCTACCTGGTTTTCAAGCAGCAGGGCAGGATCCAGGAGCACCCCAAAGGTGCACACCTGCTCCTTCAAGGGAAGTGCTATCCATCAAGCACAGGCTGTAACTCTGCTTCCTGTGGACCTTAACCCCAACCAACAGCACTTCCATCTTGTCTGTATTAAGCTTCATTACTAGTCCAGAAACCAGTCCAGAGTTTCCACCACCCTCCCTGAATTTAGATGGAGAGACAGAGTTGTGGGTCATCAGTTGTAGATGACACTTTGCTCCAAATGCCCACTTGATTTCATCCACTATATTAAAAAACTTGGGAGTGTGCCCCATAGGCCAAAAGGGAAAACTGTAGCCCACCAGTAACATCTTCTGGGACCCCTCAGCCAGGTAAGATCAAAATCACCACAAAACAGTGCCCCCAGATCCATTCCAGCCTGTTGCCCCAAAGGACACCATGGTGGATGGTATCCAAAGCCACTAAGAGATCCAAAAGCACCAACAGGGATGGACTGTCCCAATCAACTACCTAGCACAGGTTATCCAACACGGCGATCAAGGGAGTTTCAGTCCCATAACCAGGCCTGAAGCCAGACTGCCAGGGATCTAAAACTAATTGTTTCATCGCTGCTATCAGCCTGTAGAACAATGTTACAGCAAGGTCAGCACTATTGTTTCATCGCTGCTATCAGCCTGTAGATAGAACAATGTTACAGCAAGGTCAGCACCGTCCATGCAACTCTGGCAGAAAAGCTTTGATGTTCAAACCTCAAGACCTGATGAAAGTGCAACATTTCTAAAGACAGGCTGCCTTGAAAGTAACACGCTAGCAACTGGAAGCCATGCTCCAAATCCCAGAGGCATACAGCAACAAGGGAAATGCATTGTGTATGTTCTCAGAGACACCCTTAACACAAATTAATCCTAAAGAAGCAATTTTTAAGGTTGCTCTCAGTGATACAACTCTGGTGGGAGTGGGAGGAGAAGAGGTTTACACAGATGTTTCCCCCACCTTGAGGAGGCTCCCAATGGGCATAGTCTAAACTATGTTCAAAGGCAGTATTCCCTCTGAATAGTAGTTGCTGAGCAGAAACAGTAAGGAAGGGCTCTTGCCTTCACATTGTGGTGGTGGGCTTCCCAGAATCTGTCCAGTCACTTAGATCTTCACTAGAAGACCTTTTCAGTGACCACGAACAGGGTCTTCTCTGCTAGTCATGCCACATCTCTTTAATTCCTTCCCCCAAAGGGCCTGCTGGACACATTCCTAGCATTCCATTGCTAGTCAATGACCTTTTTATTCCAGTGTTTTTGATTACTTCGCCTTTTCCCATTTTTCTCTACTTCAGATTCTTGTTGCTGGTTTGTTTAGCTATTTGTTTGCAATTTCAGATGGATTGATTTTATTGCTTAATAACTGTGCATACTGCTTTGAACTGGATTTCTGGAGGGCGGGTAGGTAAGAAATGAGAATAAATAATCAGGCCAGCCACCAATGTAATTGGGATGTTGAACTAGACAGACTTCTGGTACAGTCCAGCAGGGCTGCTCTTACTTTTTTTAATGGCAAAGGATACAAACTGGAGGAGGCTTGCTGGAGGAGGCTCACATCATCTGCCACAGGAAACAACTCATCATAGTCACGGAGAAACCTGTAAGTACAAAACAAGGAAATATACGTACAAGAGGGCTTCAGAATCTGTGGGGTAGCATTCAGGAGGACTGGAGCGTTCAGTGACAGTTGAAAAGGGTATGATCGAGCCACTACTGCTAGGGGTATACACATTCATTTCTTTTATATTGTCTTCGGTGATCAAGTCTTACAGCAGCATCCTAAAGCGCTAGACTGACCCACTGCCTTCCTTCCTCCTTTGCTGTTGTAGAGGGGACAAAGGGCGTCCCTCCATGGAAACAAGTGTGTGGTTTCCAAATTCCTAACAGGATCACTGCAAGAACTCTTCTGGGTACTGGGGGAAAGCATCCTATCGTATCCACTTGCCTTGCAAAGCTGGCCCCAGAATTTAACAGGCCTCTAGTGGCAGATACCCCCCCCCTCCACCACACACACACTGCAATGCACTGAGGGACTATGTTGCACTAGGTCACGTCTTTAACTGCCACACCCTTCCAGCCTCTCACATACCACGAGAGCAACAAAGAAGGTAGATTGGGATCATACAAATAAAAGTGGCGGGGAGGAGCCTTGGATGTCCCCTCATACAGAGTCGTATGGGCTTTCGGGACAGCACACTGCTTCAAAACACACTCCCACTCTGTCCCTGTCCCCACCCCAAACAGTGTCCCCCAAAAGTAACATAGGAAATAGGGCAGCCCAGGATGAAATAGTTCTGAATGCCCTTTGACAGCTTTTAAGAGCACATGTTGAAAGCACTGAGAAAGAAGCAGTTCCCCCCAGCACAGTCAGTTCTGCATCACTGCAGATTGTTATTGTTTTGGGGGGGATTCCCCCCCCAAACTCCTAGCAACCTTCCAGATGATTACAAGGTACTTTCAACAACAAACAGCTGGACGAATGCTGCTGTTCTTCCACCCAAACCCCATCCTCTCAGTTCTCACCTCCTCTCCTGAAGCACTGAGGTGAAGATCTGAAGGAACTCTTCAATAAAAGGCTGAACATTATCATAGCTGTAATTAGAAGATAATGAAAACAACATTCAAAGATATATAAAAGTTCTGACCAAGCTTGTTAGTCTAGGGACAGTATGTATGCTCTGGGTGAAAGAGATCCTGGGTTCAGATATCCATGCTGTTTGGTTGGTAGAATCATAAATATTCTTGAGAACTCTTTTAAAACAGCAAGTGTCAAAACTAAGCCAAATTACTGCAAAAATTCCAGTGAGCCATCTGACAAGTTCCACAGGGGAATTCATCTTCAGGACAGACAAAGCAGCAGAGTGTTTGGAGGAGTTTGAAAAGCTCATCAAATGCACATATATATTTGACACAGGCAACACTGCAGGTAGAGAAATAGCAAAGTGGTAGCCATGTTCATCTATAAGGTGCAGGTTGGTCTTTAAGGTCAAGACTTGGTGTGAATTACACCATGAGTCTTTCAAGTGTCGATCACAATGTAAGGGAGAAAGGAAAGAGCTAGATGTAGATACTGGTACAAGGTTATAGTCTAATAGTGTTAAACAGCCAATTAAAATGCCTAGAAAATGGGTCCTGTTGCTCTATTAGACATTACATTGACTGAGGAAACCTATGTCACTGTTTAAATCAGGATGACATGTAGAATTTAATTCTTTGATGAGTTCTAATTCAGCACTTTCACACTATTATTCCCTTTGAACTTTTTTTTGGTAGAACAGCAATATAGTATGTTTGGGGAGATCAAAATGTTTTGCCACCAGTTTCTCAATGCTGCAATTTCTTATGTCCAATTTGTGTTCGCTGAGTCCCTCACGAAGAGACTGATAAACCTCGCCAGGTGGCATTTCTTGGACTCTGCATAATGCACAAGGCATTGCTACAACCTTAATCTTTGGAAGGAAACCGACCAGCAAGGAAGGAAAAGCACATAAGAATTTCGATGCCTGAACCAGGAACCTTTGATGGCAGGGCTGCAATCCAGCTCAGTGAGTTTCCTGGAACTGCATGTGTGCTGAAGTCTCAAAGAGCCCTTCAGGCACTGAAGAAAATAGGACTGTACAGCATCAGCCACTCCTTGTCTTTACAGGTGCTCAGCTTGACCAGTTCAGAGGCTTTGCAATGACTGGACTGGCCAGGCTGAATAGATATTGCCTGGACTTTCTACTTTTCGGCTCAGTGTTTACATGCCAACTTTCCACCAAAACATGGTTAGAGTAGCTTACAGATGTCAACAAATATCAAGCGGTGGTTACGAGTGTTGGACTAGTATCTGGGCGACCCGGGTTCAAATCCCCAATCATGCCATGAAAGCTTGCTGGGTTACGTTGGGCCAGTCACACTGTCTCAGCCTAACCTACCTCACAGGGGTGTTGTGAGGATAAAATAGAGGAGAATTATGTAAACCCCTTTGGGGCCCCTTTAGGGAGAAAGGAGGAATATAAATGAATTAAATAAGTAAATAAATATGTGGCAGCAAATTCCATAAATTAATTATGCCTTGCATGGAGAAGTACGCCCTTTTGTTTTGTCCTAGACCTACTGACAAAAGCTTCACTGTATATCTCCACATTCTAATACTGTGAGAAGGACAAAAGAATTTCCCACACACAGCATCCATAAGACCTGCACACACTTGCACGCCCCCCTACTCTAAAATAGTACTTGCCCAAGATCTTTTTGTCTGCCCCAGTAACTGCGATCACCTTTTAAGGGGCAGCCCACTGCCACTAGGCCTTGTGAAAAAGTACCTGTTTTCCAAGATAGGCTGAAGGCACAGCTGGTTAACAATAATATGGAAAACTTCCACCACCTTCTTTCTTGAATGAGACAGCCTCCTCCACATGTCCAGCATTAAGCTAGAAAGGAACAACGACAAGAAAAGATGGAAAATTAACTCTCTGATGTGATTTATTTCCAACATGGAAGACAAGGGAGCTGTCTGGTAGTAAAACATCCATTTGCTTTGAGCAGGAAGAGAAAGGTTATTTATCAGGGAGGGGTGGGGAACCAGGGTTTGCATTTCATTTATGCCTATTCTTAAACTTTTGCTAATGTGATCAGATGCAATTTGCCACTCCACCCCAGCACATAATAGAATAGTGTTCTGGCATCTGCTTCTTTCAGCTGAGTAAACAAAAAGAACTGTGCACCGACACTGTACATAAAGTCCAAATCTTCTTATTATTATAAGGAAATTAATGCACACTGCAATACTGTTTGCACATAAGAACTGTACCATACAGATGAATACACAAAATATCTTCTTCAAGATGTACAGAGGTGTAAGCATAGTAGCTCCAAGTCACACTATTAAGAACAACTCTTAGGTGTTCAGATTTAGCCCCCCAAAAAATCTTTCACCATACAGATCTTCCTTCATTCTCTGATGTGAATGCTAGCTTATTCCAAACACATTTCCCATATACCTTCTCAAAGAACAGATCTGATTAAATTTTGTTCCAGATGTATACTCTGTAAACCAAAAAACAGAAATTACATATCTTTTCATACTATCATCAAGAACCCATTCTTACAATATAAACAGCATTACCTGTTACAATTTCAACGGGGACATAGTCCTCAAGTGGATCACGCTGAAAAGCTGCATCATCCAATCTTTCTGCAAAACCTCAATTAAAGGTACCACTAGGTATTCTTGATGACAGTTTACAAAACAGTCATAGCCAGAAGTACTTCTAAGTTATTTCTAAGCCAGTATGTCAAACAAAACATGAAAGATCAAAAGACTGGTTCAGCCCTGTAGGTGCAAGAGTTTTTAGTCTGAAAATCCACTTTGCTTCTATCTGCAATAAATGCTTCTGGACATCTATAGTGCTAAAACCTCTGTTCTCATATTGATGAATTATAAAGAATCTCATGGAATCAGCATTATGACTATGAGAAATGAAATGGTTGGTAAGGGGAGCTTTTCTGTTGGCTGATCTAATGCATGATAAGTGTTCCAGTATCCTAGATTTCATAGGTTTCATACTACAGCCAATGTATAGTTTTTGACATGCACATAAAATTCCATATACAGACCTCTTGCTGTTACAATTATTAAATGAATTTAATCTGATTTGTACTCCAGTATCTGGATCATAATACTCCATAATAGTAAGACCTAATCACATGCTTTACACGATCCACATTTAAATTGTCCTATAGGACCTTCTATTTGTTTACATGTGCGTAAATCAGTCCTGATAAGTATGTCAGACATATTCTTGGTCCTCTTAAAACCAACCCTAGGAGGTAGTTCACAGCCTGGAATATGGCTCACAATATGCCAATGCTTTTCAATAGCTTTTTAAATGGACGTCGCTAAATAAGAATAATCTAAAGAACATATAATACGGCTATTCTCACAATGCAATTTGCTCTCAAACAATTCTTTTCTATCTATTGTGTCAGATCTCATTTTAGCTCTACTCAAAATCTGCACAGGGTAACCTCTTTCTCTAAACTGGTGCGAAAGAGTTTGGCTTGCATCAACATAATCTGTAAAAAAATGTACTGTTCCTTTCAATTCTCAAATACTGGCTGTAAGGGAGGCTATTTTTTTAAAAAATGTGGAGGATGGCATGATAAATAATGAAAATATATATTTTTATCAATTGTGAACTGCCAACTGATTTCTACTGTCACGGAAGACAATAGCGTTTAGAAAAGAGATACTCTGCCCTGTTGGAGAGAAAATGTAATACTAGAATGGATAGAATTAATCCAGTTTAGAAACTCCTGTAAAGTATTTTCCTTACACCAAACTACAAAAATGCCATCTATAAAATGCTTATAAATGAGGATCTTACTAAAGAAAGGATTCTGTATAGGATTGCAAATAAATTCTGACAATAATCTAGCCATAAATAAACATGCAATACTAGGAGCAAATGTGCTGCCCATTGCTACCCCATATATTTGTAAGTAAAATTGATCTTTAAACCTAAATAAATTTTTTCCAAGAGTAATATCTGTGAGGACCATAAGAAAATAAGTAGGTGGACCCAAATTAGATCGGAAGTCTACAAATCTGTGCTGTCAACCTAGCATCTTCAAAGGGGATGTTAGTGTATAAAGACACTACATCTAGGGAGACCAATAATGAATCCTGAGGTAAATCAAAGCCACAAAACTGGAGGAGGGCATATGAATGCATTTGCAGCAGCAAGAAAACGTGACATGGAGAATCCTACATGGAAGCAGCCTTAGTGAGTAAATAGAGAAGAAGAGATACAAAACTTGGATCTTCCTACCTTTTGATTGAGTGACAAGCTTACTGGACCAAGGGAATGCTGATGATGTTGTTTACCTGGATTTCAGTCAAGCTTTTGGTAGGGTTCCTCATGATGTTCTGATGGGTAAACTAAAGGACTATGGACTGGACTATAGGATAGTTAGGTGGATAGGGAACTGGCTGGAGAACTGCACCCAGAGAGTAGTTGTCAATGGCATTTCATTTGAATGGAGGAAGGTGTCCAGTGGGGTGCTACAGGGCTTGGTTCTGGGTCCAGTACTCTTCAGTATTTTTATAAAGGATCTGGATGAGGGTGTGGAGAAACTGCTCATTAAATTTGCAGATGACACTAAATTGGGAGCAGCAGCGAACACACCAGAAGATAGAGATAGAATTCAACAAGATCTGAACACACTGGAAAAGTGGGCGGATGTGAACAAGATGCAATTTAACAAGGATAAGTGCCGAGTTCTACATCTGGGTAACAGAAATGAGGAACACACATACTGGATGGGGGATACACTTCTAAGTAGCAGTGTGTGTGAACAAGATCTTGGGATAAGGGTGGACCAAAAGTTAAATATGAGCAGCCAGTGTGATGCGGCGACAAAAAAAGCCTAATGCAATCTTGGGCTGTATCAACAAGAGCCGGAACATCCAAATCACAAGATGTCATAGTCCTGCTATACACTGCATTGGTCAGGCCGCACCTGGAGTACTGTGTGCAGTTCTGGAAGCCTTGCTTTAAAAAGGATGTGGACAGAATGGAGCGTGTGCAGAGGAGAGCGACGAGTATGACTGGGGGTCTGGAAAAGCTATGAGGAAAAGCTGAGGGACCGGGGAATGTTTAGTCTGGAGGAGTTTGAGCGGGGACATGATTGGTCTCTTTTAAGTATCTGAAGGGCTGTCACGTAGAGGAAGGCAGGGAGCTGTTCCTGTTGGCAGCAGAGTATAGGAGACAAAATAATGGGTTTAAACTAAGGGCGGGAAAGTACCGGCCAGTGTTCCCTCTAAATTTAGTTAGTGTGAGCTAGCTCACAATTTTTTAGCCTCTGGCTCACACATTTTTGTCTTAGCTCAGGAAGGATAGCTCAGAGCAAACTAATTTATGCAGTAGCCAAATTGCTTGCTCACAACTTTAATGCCAGTAGCTCACAAAGTAGACTTTTTGCTCATAAGACTCCACAACTTAAAGGGAGCATTGCTGTAATAATCTCTTGCCACCTACCTTTCAAATGTCAATAGAACCACTATAGTGCTATAGAACATGCATGAAGAAAACAAAAACATAAATAGGCCACAAGTCACCATGGCAACTAACATCTGGGAGGCAATGCAGGAGTAAATGTGGAAGAAAAAAGTCAGGGGGGAAAGACAGAGGAAAGTGGCAGAAAATTCCCCACATTTAAAAGCTCCTTTGCCCAAAGTGCATATGAATGCATTTGCAACAGCAAGAAAACGTGACACAGAGAATCCTACATGGAAGCAGCCTTAGTGAGTAAATAGAGAAGAAGAGATACAAAACTTGGATCTTCCTACCTTATTGCTTATTCTCTTAGTCACAATGCTACACCAGCTCTCAATGAGGAAACTTTCAAAAAGGCACCCCCTCTGCCTACGGTCTGTAGTCCACCTTAGCACTTCAGGATTCCACCACCACCACCACATTATGCTATAGACCACATATGACAAAAGTAGTACCTGTGGGCACAGTCGTGTACAGCAAGGTGTTCCCCGGAGCTTTTTTCCTAATGTTATCTTTTCACCAAAGCAAAGAGCTGGTCCTGGTTTTCCTCCACTGCACTAGAGTAGGAATTGCTTCAGAAAAGCCCAGAAAGTGTCACTTTTAATAGCTATCTGCATCTTTGGAGGATGCTGGGCTTGGAACCTCATATCATTTTTGAAACTTCTCAAGATTTTGTAATTGGCCCCACCCTTACAGCAGCCATTTTGTTATGGCACCCCACTACCTGTTCTCAAAACTCCAAAAGTGTTCATACAAGTTGGGAATCCCAGCATAAATTAAGCCATGGACCCTATGAAAATTTTGTTCACTGTAGGGAAGCACAACTTGGCACAGTTGGTTATATGCTGTCCTGCTCCCATGCACATACACACACGTTCATCATTATTTCTACAATGCTGTGTGCAATGCAGCTATGTAACAGTCACGAACACCTATTGACCAGCTCCTGTGACATTATTAACAAAATGCAATTCATCCTCCCACCTGCTTCAATGGTAAGCACTTCTCTACATGAGTACTCATATAGCCCCTCAAAAGTAAGACTAGTTATGGTGCATGCTGGACTCAGACAAGCACAACCTAGGGGTCAAATGTCCACTCAGCCAGAAAGCTCATCAGATGAGCCTGGGACAGCCAGCCTCTCTCGAATCTAACCTACCTTGCTTGGTTGCTGTAAAGATGCTACCCTGAGGATCGTGGAGGAGAGGCAAGGTAAAAGGGTGACACATATTTGTTGGGGAAAAGATTTAAAAAATAAAATGCAAGGAGAGCATCAATGGTATGAACCCACACAGTGGACTAATAATGTGCTGAACACATGCCTGAAAATGCCTGTGCTCTTAACTGCAAGTGTAAATATATCTCAGAAATGTACCTGCTGTCCTCATGTCTTCTCTTCTTAATTACAGACTCCAGTTCAGGTATCACCAGCTCATAAAAAGAAGCAAGCCTACAAAACACACGCAGCTAAACTTAACTATAAAATACTTTTTTTAAAGACACAAATCAAAGTGAGAGGAGACATGAGAAAGTAAAGATCTAAAGTTGGTAGCGCAGAGGAATCTAGAGAAGCTACAACTCAGTGGCAGGTCACATGATTTGACCAGATAACGCAATTCAGTCCCTGATCTCTTCAGCGAGACTGTGAGAAAACCCAAGACCTTGAAATAGTGCTGCAATGGACAAGATGGACCGAAGGCCTCACCTGGTATAATACAGCTTTGCACATATCTTTATGGATATAAGCTGCAGCAGCAAACATCCTAATAATTCCTTTTACTACTGCACCCTTAGGAGTGTGGAACAGATTGTTTTAAAATTGGAGCCAACACAATTGCTTCAAATGAGCTCAGTTCTGCTCAGTTATCAGTTATTGTGATGCTTGAGGAAGAAAATCCCAATGGCAACCCTTCCACACAGCAGTATTCTTGGGTCTCTGCTTTCATTTCAATGGAGCTTGTGCAGGAGAACTGTGTGTCCTATGTCAACTAGGGTCAGATTTGTCCATCTCCTCCCTCCCCCCCCGATTGTGACACTGAAATGAACTCAAGTGTACCCAAACACAGTGTACAATCACTGGGAAGTGACAGTTTGGCTCCCTGAGACATGCTTCTTTTGGGTGCATATGAAACACACACAGTTCCTAAAAATATACCTGTAACAGAAGTCATGCTTTTGGAATGTTTGGCAAGCCAATGGAAACACATCCAGAAAGGCCCAAAGGGTGATACACGTATCACACAAGTACAGCACAATGTCCATCAGCTCCTAGGAAGAAAAAAAGTAATAGTAATTAATTACAAACAAATTAGATAGGTCTTGTGCCTAGTGCTAACACATCTGTTTTGCAGGAAGAAGGTCCCAGGTTCAATCACTGGTGCCTCCATTTAAAAGGATCAGATAGCTGGTGATGTGGAAGACCTCTGTCTGAGACCCTGGAAAGCGACTGCCAGTCAGAGTAGACAACACTAACCTTGAGAGACCAAGAGGCTGACTCAGTATAAGGCAGCTTCACATGTTAATGTGTTCAAATTTCCTCCTTCCAAAGTTGCTGTCTTATGAAGTTGTCTTACACCATTGGTCCAACTTGCCCAATGTTGTGTACTCCAGGGTCTCAACTAAAGAAAAGATTTTCAGTACCTGTGATCTGAGATCCTTTCACTGGAGATACCAGAGACTAAACCTAGGACTTTTCCCATGCGAAGCAACAGCCTTTTTGGTGTCTGTGTCTCTCTCTTTTTTTGGTCATCAGATCACAGCTTACTTATGAAGACCCTCAGGGGTTTTCAAGGCAAGAGATGGTTTGCCACTGCCTGCCTCTGTGTCGCAACCCTGGACCTCCTTAATGGTCTCCAAATACTAACCAGGGCTGACCCTGCTTAGCTTCTGAGCTCTAACAAGATCAGGCTAGCCTGGGTTATACAGGTCAGGTGCCCTTATGAGTTCCAGCAAGCTAGTCCTACCATTAGCCTACCTCAAGAAACAGACTTTGGAATACCATTAAAAGGCAGCAAATTGCTAACTATATAGCAACTAACTAATATAGGTCTAGTACCATAGCAGGGAGGCACACACTATGCATGGATTTTTGGCCTAGCAAATGAAGTGTTTTGGACCGTCACTGGCCCCTAAGCATAATAAATTCAGGGTAAAGGTAAGATCAGGCACAACAACATTCCCAAAGCAGACTTATCCAATACCCACCATTCTAGTAAAAAAAGTCTACTAAAAATATAAGACACATTGCACTAAACCACATGCAATAAAGAACTGCATGGGACCTAAACTAGATGAACATTTCAACATACTAGAGCAGTATTTAAGGCTCCCTCCAGTGCCACTATGGCTCTCTTGCCTCTAGGGTAGCCACCCTCCAGGTGAAGCCTGGAGATCTCCCAGAATTACAACTTATCACCAGACTACAGAGATCAGTTCCCCTGGAGAAAGTGGCTGCTTTGGAGGGTGGACTCTGTGGCGTTATACCCTGCTGAGGTCCCTCCCCTCCCCAGGCTCTGCCCCCAAATCTCCAGGACTTTGCCAAACTGGAGATGGAAATCATACTCGTCTCACACCCTAGAAAACTTGCTTTTTTGAGGGGGGAGCAACAAAAGTAGATTAACTTCAATGGGAATATATTGCAAGACTGCCTAAAAGATGGAGATGGAGCGCCGACACCCGAAAGCCTGCTTGAAGAAGGAGCCGGATTACAACAAGCCCTGCTGCCTGGGTGCCGGTAGGCAGTCCCCTCCCGATATATGCAATGTGGCCTTAGATAGGAAATTGGAAACACTGTATGTAAACCGCTCAGAGACCCTTCGGGGTTAGAGCGGTATATAAATTGAATGTTAAATAAATAAATAAATAAAGACAAACTGGATTTAAAAAAAAAACAATGAGGAGACAACATCAAAGAAACCATTTTACAAATGAATGAATCAAGACTAGTAACAGGTTAGGTAATAAATATTTGACTTCAGAGTACGGACACCTTTTTTTCTGCAGCCCCAAACCAAACTTAAGTAGGGATGCAAACCCATCTATGTCTGCACTAGATGTCTCTTTTCACGTCTGCCTTAAATGTACAGAGAAAATTTGGGGTAAAGGTACCAACAACAGAAGATGTCTTCTGGTACCTTGTTACTCGAAAAGGAAAAAGCTGATGAAAGTAATACCAACAGTTATGACCAACATTCGTTAATATGGACTGGTGGAAAAGAACACACAAGAAATCTTCTCTTCCTTTGCATTTCAAAGATGCTGCTGCTAAGGAACAATTAGAGAGGCTGTATGCTCCCCAAAACATCTCTCTCAGCTTTTGTATAATCTGCAAAACTTGATGAGGACAAAGCAGACTGGTTCACATCAGTGTGGACAAAGGAATGACAACAAGAAAAACGCCTTCGTCAAAAACAACTAAAAACAGAGACATAAACAAATGCTTATGCATCAAATTATAAAAAATCCACCATCTGAATAGGAACCAGAAGTTGCTCTTCCCCACTTTTGCATTTCCTCATTTGCAGTAGAAAGCATAGCACCCATGCCTAGTCCCGATAAAATTTCAAACGTGACACATTAGAACGAAGTAAAACCTCTCCCCAACCTCTTCTTTCCCTCCCTTGGTCATTTGTAGCATGGAAGAGGGGAAGAAGGATTCATTCTGCTTCTTAAAAAGAAAGGAAGCGTTCAGTGATATTTTAAGAGAACACACACACAATTAATTGTCTTCTTCAAAAATGTGTAAGCAAAGCATACCCAAATTCATGTGATTGGGAAAGCTGCCTCACCCAGTCACAGGACAGGCAAAAACAATGATTACTAGCAACCATGTGCAGGATGAGGCATAACTCTTGGGGGGGGGGGGGGTTAATAAGGGGGGAGCATGACTATGAAGTTTAATGCAGCCTGAAGGAAAGATGTCGGTCACAGCAAACATCCCCCCACCTTCAGAGGCATATCCCCAGGAGTCATCCTGATCTTTTCCTCTAGTTTCTGTGGCTTAGCAGAGGCTCCTTCACATTGCAAGCGACACGTATGGAGAATGTTGCTGAATACCTAGAAGGCAAAGGGCAGGCTTGTGAACATGTCAGAGTGGAATGCAGCCAGGCACACTTTGCCTGTGTCAGCATCTGCCTGAGGTTATCTGCTCCCCAAAAGAGGACCTGCCTAAGCAAAAAGCCAGGCTAAACAAATCCAGTGTTTTTTCCCACACACACACACACTTCTCTCTTTTCTCCAGCCTAGACTAATTTTTCCAAAGGCACAGCTTATGTACAATTTCACCTTGGTGAATCAGTTAGCAAGAGAAACACACCAAAAGAAAACCCATTGGCGCCACCCTCCAACTGTGGAAGGCAAGAGGTGTTCAGGTAGAATAGGAAGAAAAATCTTAGAGCCTGTTTCAAACACCCAGAGTCTAGATGCACACAACATGAATGGTTTCTCCCCCCCCCCCTCATATCTTCTTGCATATTTAATAGTTCACACCAGGTTTCTGAGATGTTATCAGGCCATCTTTCGGTGGAAAAAGGGAAGGGCTGTATATTTCCAGAGCTCTTTACAATGCTTCCATTTATCAGTGTTTTCTGGGAAAACCTCATGGGGTGCATACTTTGGGGCAAAAACTACCCCCACCACAAAATCAGTTGAATCTTCTGAGTTTGTTTTGTTATAAACTGGAAGGGGGAAACCCAACACATAGAGCCTTAGCTTCTTGAAAGAAGGGAGGGTGCAAATGAAATAACACAAACACACAACCCCACAAGGTGAATTAGGTTAAAACCAACTGATGCAAGATCATCCAGTAAGCTTTGTGTCTTTCTCTCACACATAGACACCTATTTTTGCAGGCTGTTAATGCAACTCCTGCTTTGTACCGTCTACACTGGATGGGGAACTGAGCAGGCTGGTAACGGCTAGATCTGCACTGGCTGCCCATCCATCCTGCAATACAACTACCATGTGGGAACTCTTTGGATTACACATTCATTTATCACTGCGTACAAAGTGGTTCACATACAAATGACTTGATACATACAAAGACAATTGCCACTACTTTCCAGCATATTTTGTCAGCCAAAGTGCTTGTGTGAATTGCCACCAGAAAGCAGCAGATGTAGCCAGCTCAGACACAGCCTCCCAGGAAATCTTTAATGAAGTCTACACTAAAAAAGGACAGAGGTGCCCAAATATTAGAACTGCCAACTTCCTGGTGGTGGCTGGAGATCTACCACAATTACAACTGTTCTCCAGGTAAACGAGATTAGTTCACCTGGAGAAAATGGCCCCTTTGGAAGGTGGACTCTGCGGCATTATACTCTACTGAAGTCTCTCCCCTCCCCAAACCCAGCCCTCCTCAGGCTCCACCCCCAAAATCTCCAGGTATGTCCCAACCCTGAGTTGGCAACCCTACCAAAAATACACTAAAGAAAAATTAGCACCTGAAGAACTGTAGGCACCGTTTCATCTAAGTCACTGAAGTAGCTTGGCTGCTGAATAAAGATGTTTTCTGTGGTGGGGGAGGGGGGGGAAAGAGCAGACAGAAAGAGAAAAAAATTATTTCAAGCTGGTTAAAAGAGTCAGCTTCAAACATCCTCGTACCAGTTAGGCTACCTTTCAGATTTTCCCCTCAAACAACACAAGTCATATTGCATTGGTGCTACAAATAGAGACACAGGGTAGAACTTGGATTTATGAGAGGAAACTTGGTTTCTAATTCCAAATTTTCCTCGTAACGCAAATGCAGGGAAGAATCACATTAACAAGCCTCCTGATTCCCCCTACAAAAACCACTCCCCAAAAGCTCTGAGAACAGAAGCAAGCTCAGCTAAGGAAGAAATAGTGTGGGCGTTCCAATATAAGTTGGAAGGCACAGGTGAGGTAAAGCACCCCTCAGACCCATTGATTCCCCCCTACAGGCACCTCCTGTCCTTGCATTACTTCAGCAAATGAGAGTTTGGGAGCACATACTTGCCAACATGTCACATACTGTAGTTCTCCATAGAGCAGTGGCGGCGAACCTACGGCACGGGTGCCAGAGGCGGCACTCAGAGCCCTCTCTGTGGGCACGTGTACCATCGCCCCAGCCAGGCCCAGACCATCATTAAAGTGTCAAATTCTCTGCCAAATAATTTTAAGTAAATGAAAGCATTTGGGATTGCTTTCCTGACTTTGTTTGGATCATCTTAAGTTAATGTATGAGTGGTTTTTTCTAAAGTAAAACCTCAGTATTCAGGTTAAATTGCCGTGTTGGCACTTTGCGATAAATAAGTGGGTTTTGGGTCGCAGTTTGGGCACAAGGTCTCTAAAACGTTCGCCATCACTGCCATAGAGAATACCAGTCTAGCAAATATCACAGTGGACTTGCGCTGGGGAGATCCAGGTTTAAATTCCAGTGCAGCTGTGAAACTTAATGTGAGGCCTTGAGCCAATCACTCTCTTGGCCCAGCTCACCCTCAAATGTTTTACTACATATTAATTTTATAAATATAAGGAGAAAATGCTACATAGGCTTTCGTCTTGCCAAGTACTATAATTCCTCCATATTTTTATTTCTCAAGCTGAAGAGCCAGGCAAAGAGCTTGGAATATACCTCAGTGGGCCTTCTTCAGGCCAGGATGTTCAAAGGGAAAGTAAAAATAAAATGCCTACTTGCTCAGAGTGATATAACGAACAAGTGGATCACATGAGATGGCTGGCTCAGCCCTACCTCAAGGCTTCTGCCTCCAGCCTTTAAAAAAAAATGATGGCAACAGAATTCCAGCAACATCAGACACGTCTTTATCTGACATCTCATTCAGTATTCACTGAATCTTTGTATGGTACCATTGAAACATTAATGTATCTTTCATTATCATCTTAAAAAAAAAAATCTATTCATTACAATGAGCCTCATGTGCTCCCCCCGCCTCAGAGAATGGACTGGGGAAGTCACATTGTGGGAAGGGACTTTTCACCAGCTATTTCTTTCCAGGTCCAAATCATCCCTCCAATGCTGCTATTTATCCCTCTACTAGTCCCACCACTGAACCTTTAAATCAGAAAAACTGGGGAGGGGGGTAGCCTCCACCAAGCGCTGCTTCTCCCTAATCCAATTTCTCTCCCCAAACCCGTCATGTACACACACTTTGAAATGGAAAAAGAACTCTGTGGGAGAGCTGATCACAGGTCTCCAAGTGTCTTGTCTTCTTAAGTCCTTATCAGTTTTCATTTGTCTGCCTGCAGGGAAACGTGTCACAAATCCAGATTCTACAGTTTAGAATTCATTGTTCAAGTCTGCCTCTGAACACGGTTTTTAAAATTAAACTGTTTGGGCTGTCTTAGGCCTGCTGTCACAAAGCCTGCAGGATCAGGTGCTTGCAAATAAGCACACTTAAGACTGGAAAATGTTTTGGTGTAGACAACTTTTAAGATGAACCCTTTTTATTAAGGGTCGGTCTAGTCCAGCGCACAGTTCCCAACAGTCAGGTGCCTCTGGAACCTCAAGCAGAGGATGAAGGCGGAAAAGAAATCATCCCACAGTGTTTATCCACAGCACCAGGGCTATTTTTGGGCAGGAACGCACAGGAACGGAGTTCCGGCTGGCTCCCGAGTTGGCCACACCCAGCAGGAACTCATTAGCATAATAGGCCACACCCAACAGCAGAAACTCATTAGGACTGGCTACATTAGGGGTGTATGGCCTAACATGCAAAAGAGTTCCTGCTATAAAAAAGCCCTGGGTTTTGACAACAAACCAGGTAAACAGAATAAGAAGCAAAAGGTGGGTGTGTCTGGATGACCACACTTCTGCGAACATGGGGTGTGTGGCATAATATGCTAATGAGCTGTGCTGTCAGGGGTGTGTCCTAATAAGCAAATTAATTTCTGCTGTTGGGTGTGGCCTATTATGCTAATGAGTTCCTGCTGGGCTTTTTTTACAAAAAAAGCCCTGCACAGCACCTAGTACTCACTACACTACCTCTCAACTTGGAGGTCCCATTCAGCTAATTCTGTACATCTCGCCATGAATTCTTTTAATCTTTGCTTAAAGCCACCTACACTGATGTCTGCTACATCCTGAGGTAACGAATTCGGTAAACAGATAATTTTCTTGACACTGTCAATGTTCCTTAGCAAATCACGGTGGAACAGCCCCTCTTTAGAGCCTGTTCTAAACCTTGATTTCAGAGCCCTCCCAAAAAAACCTTTCACCCCATTCTATATGTACAACTAACCAATCATCTTGTGGAGCAGAGCATTGTTGCCTTTTCCGTAGAGCACACACAGATCCAGAATTTTGGGAATATCAAACAAGAAGTTATTGTAAATGATTTCTCCAAAAACAGATGGTGTGATGAAATGATCCTAAAAAGAAGAGGAAATAGTACATATGGTTGGAAATAAATAACAAAGTCCTTGTCATGACAGCAGGGGGATGCAATGCACTCAACCACGGTGGCACAAAGAAGGTAGCATTAGCATAGGTTTCCCTTGCTCAAAAGCCAGTTGAATCCGACTCTATGGGGCAGTGCTCATCTCAGTTTCCAAGCTGACGAGCCAGCGCTGTTCGAAGACGTTTCTGTGGTCGTGTGGCCGGTATGACTAAACGCCGAGGTGCACAGAATGCTGTTACCTTCCCACCAAAGCGGTACCTATTTATCTACTTGCAATTTCTTGCTTTCGAACTGCTTTCGAACTGCTAGGTTGGCAGGAGCTGGGGCCAGAGATGGGAGCTCACTCTGTCACATGGCACTAGGGTCTCGAACATGGCACTAGGGTCTGCAGCTCAGCATCTTAACCTCTGAGCCACCATGGCCGCTTTTAGCATTAGCACAGACCTGTCCATATAGAAGGAAGAGCCCTTCATTGAGGATCAGAGTTGAAGAGTTTCAGAAATATTTCCTCAGTTTTGCTGCTTCTTCACAGCTTCCTCTGCATCCCTGCACATAACTTGTACTTTGGGCAGAAGTACCAAAGTAGTGTTTTTAAATTTTTACTTCTTTATTTTTAGAACTTTTATTCTTTCCATGCATCTCCCAAGAGCCCCCAGTGTAAACTGTAGCACAGCAAAAAGGTAACACACATCAAAAAAGCTAGTTTGGGCAAAGAACTATTGGTCATCAGTGGTAGAATGTATGAAAATGGCGGTGAGGGCAGGGGGGGCTCCACAGGCTGTTCTTTAGACCTGGCGCTCTGGCGCATGGCCTGAAAACGGCGGGGGGCGGCTCCGCAGGCGACAGGAGGGTTCCGCAGGGAACTTACCTGCCTGCTGCTTGCTCTTCGTGGCCCAACTGATGGCTGGTGGGAGCACGGGGTGGGGCTTATGTGCCCGCCCCCTGGTCTCCTTACTGGCGGAGCGGTGCTCTGGCACACTCCAGCATGAACCGAGGCCTGGTTGATGTGGCTGTTGTTTTTAACTCTGAAATGTCTTTTTGGGTGTATGGCTTATGGGCTATTAAACCTGCATAAAGCAAATAGGTAAGCAATGCAAAGATTTCAGAATAGGAGTAGCATGACCAAAGCAGCTATATTCGTATCACAATAGAGTTGCCTCTTCAAGACAAAAAACACAACATACTTTGTGTTTGGGGGAAAACTGCTATAGGCCACTGAGGCCATAGAATAGAGCAGGATACAACTCAGATGGACAACTAATCCTACCTCAGAGGGTAATTTGTGAGAGGAGAAAATGTTCCTTCCCATTCCATGCTTAAGGGAAAAAGGTCTATAAACAAATACATACTGGGCTTCTATTCGTGGATGACTAGGAATATTTGGATGGGAAAAAACAAAATACACAAGTGAAGGCTATGAAGGAAAAATCAGGAAAGAAAAACAGAAACCAGCTACTGTTCCCCCCAGAGAAGAGCATATACATAACTCAAATGTATGCAGAGCAGAAAAGTGGGTGTTTACTTTGGATTCCTTGTGAGTGGACATTCGGAGGAAAGTTAGGAAAACATTCCGATGAAGGTGCTCCATTAAGTCATTCACTTCTGGAGGCGAATCTGCTACCTTGTCGAACTTGCGAGGGGCATGGCGCAAGTATGAATCCAAACATTTCTGGAGTGTCTCATCAAAAACTACCTGAAGCAAAGAAATAAAATGCTTCATGGGAAATTGGTCAGGGATGTCAAATTGTATGCCAAGTGACAGGATATGTCTACAGTACCAAAGTTGTGTGTTGAATTCATTGGTGTTTGGATTAAGGCTGCTCAAATGAAACAAATATTCCATAGAATTCAGGAAAACCACTTTTAAGGGCTCACTACCAAATATTTGTGGCAGATGGAACACTAAAACTGTTTCCTGGCACCCATCCTTTCCAGGCAGTTATGTTACTTCTTTCTTAGCACTTTCCCCAGAGTAGAAACTGTCTTATAATTAGGACTGTCCAACAGTTTGAACAATCTTTCATTAACTGTCTGCCTTTAACCCAATTGAATACATCCACCTACCAAATCCACAGAATGTTCCTTTTTGAGATACTGAAGGAAATTAAAAATAAATTCGTTGCTTGCTAGACTGTAAATTAGAAAATGCCATCGTGAATATTTTATTTTTCCTTTTTTTACTCCACTAATATAGGATACTTTTTAAAAAAAATAATAACAAGCCTGCGTTTAATTCCCAGCCTCATTGATTAAAATTTAAAAGGGATGTGGCTCAGGGAGTGGTGAACTATATTTGCTTCCTGACACTGTTCTTACTGGGCACCTTTGCCACCGAAAAGGAAGCCTGACCATATTTGCACTGGCCCATCCCTGGTCACAGTAGACGGTGATGGCAACTTTAGGAACTGCCCTGTGTTTGTATAGATCCCTGCCCCAAGATCTCAGGACGGGTTGCACTACAAACTCAAAAGTATGCTTACAGAGATAAAGTTCAAAAGCACATGTTTTGTTTTATAATCCCTTTTCACAAAGTGATATTACCTGACACCAGAATTTATCATGAGGCAGAGCCAAAAGCCAATCCAGATCATCTGCGATGAACTTGGCCCGTTCTAAGAACTCCTCCAGCAGTGCAGGATCTCTGGCTTTAGGTGGTGGCTTATAGAGCACAAAAGAGCGTTCTGTTTTCTTTTCTGGATGCTGCAGAAAAACAAAATACCACAAGTGAAAATAAGCTGACCAGAAGACTAAACAGTAGCCCTTGGTGTTGCCGTCTGAGCATCTTACAGAAGTCCTGACAGAGATATGTCTCATGTTGGTAGGAAAGTGGGCCTGTGGTTAACAAGAATCCATCCCTCATATTTGCTCTCTTTAGCATATGCTGGCAGCTCTCCTTTCTCTCTAATTACAAAGGCTCTGCACAGCAGCAGTTTCAGGGATATCCTGAGTTTTTAATAACACTTTTCGAATCTCGCACAATTCACTACATTTTTCTGTCCTGTTCCAATGAAGATAAGTAGCTAACAGTCTTTTTCAGGTTCAGCTCCTCCTATGTTTCCAAAACAAAGCAGAAACAGTTGGACATAATGCATGTTTGTGCTGCAGAATCCTGCACTAACAGATCATGATCAGTGAACCTAGAAAAATCTATATTCTGTAACTGTGTAACGATTATCATTTTCCAGTGAGATGGAAGTAATGTTGTGGGATTGACATCTGTCCACTACATCGCTATCCCATCCCTCATCTGTTTTATCCTCCCTCCCTCCTCATTTATTTTATGAAGTAGATTAGGCTAAGAGTGTGTGATCAGCCAACAGGCACCCATTCCGTTTCTTAGGCAAATGAGGACTGAATGCAGGTGTTCCCCAATCTTCGCATCTCAAGACTCTTAGGTATTACATACCATATACATTCTCTTTCAAAACACTATTTGTAGTACACTTTTTTTTTCTGACCCTCCAGGATTTCTCATCAAAACTGTCTTAAAATTTACTTAAACCAGAGAGCTCGCTGTGATGTTTGATAACCCACTGCAGGGCTACAAGAAAGAAAATATTACATATGTTTTGTCCCCATTTAAATCAATGGGACTTCAATGTACAGCTAAACACTGAAGTACCATTGATTTCCTCATTGTGGGAAAAAAGTACATCAAAGCTATAAACAGTGGTATTTTATGTGGAGTTTAGCTTCCTGAAAATTACAACTTTCTTTTTTTAAAAAAGCAAGTTTCTAGTCCTTATGGCTGTAAAAATATGCTTTAAAACACATTGGCAATACCTGGTAGAATCTCAGAAGCCAAACAAGTTGTTGAACAAGATTTCCAGTAGTCAAAGGGTGGGGCTTCAATGCCCTGTATAGCCTCTCCCCATGACTAGCAGAGGCAAAGTAAATCAAGTAGAATGAATTATGAAAGACAATCCAGTATAATTACTGGAGTGCAGTGTTCCCTCTAAGTTGAGTTAATGTGAGCTAGCTCACCGTTTTTTAGCTTTCAGCTCACTCATTTGTCTTAGCTCAGGAAGGATGGCTCCAGAGCAAACTTATTTATGCAGTAGCCCAATCACTCGGTCAGAACTTTAATGCCAGTAGCTCACAAAATAGAATTTTTGCTCAGAAGACTCCACAGCTTAGAGGGAGCATTGCTGGAGTGTCAGATTAGAACTGGTAATGTCCGAATTCATTCCTCCCTGCCCCCATCCACAAAGTTCACTGGTTGATCTCAGGCCCATTCATTAACTCTCAGCCTAACCTACTTCATGTTATATGGGTGAACCTGCACTTTGGACTCTTGGACAGTTTCAGTCACACAACTCACTGAAATAAGATGACAATGCATTAAACTTTACTGAGAGGAGCACTCCACTTACCAGTGCTGGTAAAGTTTTCAGCTTCCCAGTCAGCAAATCCTTCTCAGTAAACTGGAGCTCATCTAGTGGTAATGCTGGCATGCTACTGTGTTATATTTGCCTTTAAAACACACACATAGAGGAAACATCAGAAACTTTTCAACAACCAACAACAAACATGGCAGGTTGCTCCTGGTTCAACAGCTGTACCTAGAGACATGAACCATGGTACACACAAAACAAGACTATAGAGGAAAAACAGAAAAAGAATTGTTGCTTGGGGCCCACAAATCTCCATGCAGCAGAGTGACCTGCCATTTGTTTATGAAAGGTATAAAAAAACTAAAAAACTAAAATCTAAAGGACCAACCCAAAGAATTCCTATTTGACTGATACCAAATCACTTGTGTTGCACAAAGCATTTCTGTTCACAAAAATGAAGTCAAGAGATGCTTCACTGGAAGAGGCCATTTGGCCAAACACATTGCAATCAGAAACCTTTGAGGTCATGACCTGAGCTAAAGAGGGAGAGCCACCCACCCCCCATTATTTGTCCTGGCACCTACTATGTGTCAGCTATGACACCTCTAAACATGGAGGTTCCATGCTCACAGCTCTTTGGGTGGAGGGGATGCAGATGGGATTTGAAGAAAGCCAGCCACCACTGCTAGTTTCTCAGCATACATGAGGAAAACAGTACTGTTTAAATCGAATGGTCCTCCTAGCCAATGCCACCAGACCTAGTAGGAATGCCTTATGTTCATGACTGAGCACTTATTATAGGCAGCTGGTTGGAGTTCCAAGCAATAATCTCTCTAAGCTGTGGAGTCTTGTGAGCAAAAATTCCACTTTGTGAGCTACTGGCATTAAAATTGTGAGCCAGTGATTTGGCTACTGCATAAATTAGTTTGTTCTGGAGCCATCCTTCCTGAGCGAAGACAAAAATGTGTGAGCTGGAGGCTACAAAACTGTGAGCTAGCGTACTCTAACTCATCTTAGAGGGAACACTGGTTCCAAGAACTATCAAATGATCCTGTCCTTACTGATACACTAAAAAATGGACACACCTTTTAAAAACTTTTTGTTTTTAATTTTATTATTAAATTCCTTCCCACCTCAACAAGTGTATCTTTCTTGGACATAGCAGCAGGGGACAATTAACTTGGTCTCCTCAACATTATCAGCTGGAAGAAGTTTGGCACTGGGAAGGTTGCAGTAAAAAAAAACACAGGCAAGCAATGCAGGCTATAAAGAATCACCTTTTCAGTGACCGACTTGGCCAGTTAAAGGGATCCCCACAAAATTCCCAGTCTTGATGCTCCCCAGGTGACATTACGCCAGTCGCTGTCAGCCTAAAAATTTCTATACTTCACAGAGTTAATGTGATGATAAAATAGAAGACGGGAGAACTATATACCACCCTGAGTACCCTGGATGAGGTCAGGACTTTTTAAAAAGGACACTGAAAGCCAGATGTTTGCATAGAGACTATTTTGCAGATTGAAGAAAACAAATGCAGGGAATCAGACTATTCCATGGGCCCCAAGGCTTCAACTTATGTTTGTTCCCCCACCATTCTTGACTCACAGGGACAAAACTGGAAACAACACAGCAGGCAGAATCCTAGTGTTGGTGATTGGGCTTGGAAGCAGTTACCTGCCTTTCTTAGGAATACCATCTCTACCTCCAGCGGTATGTAATAGCATGGGGCAATTTGTTGAAGCTTAGATATTAGAAACACAATTGTGTTTGCAAGTTTCTAGCAAGCAACACCCAGAAGAGGAACCCACTAGAAGTGACTGATTTGGGACTCCATTAAGGACTGCAAACCAGGAGAGATTAGAAGAGAACTGCCTAGCTAGACCAGACTATCTAGCTGAGCATTCAGTTTCCAACAATGGTTGACTAGATGTCTTAAGAAACTAAAAAGCCAGGCATGAAACCAGAGGCTTTCTCCCATTGCTTGTCCCCCAACACCTGGTATTCAGAGTCAACTGCTTCTATGCATGAAGACTGTTTATATATCTTAGTTGCCATGAAAAAAATCATTCCGCAATTAATTGTGCATTGTAACAAAACAACCCTAGGACACTACAATAATGCTGTTACACATTACCTACTCCTTTCAGTGAGGCCTGTGCAGCAGAACTTTCTGGCACCATCACTATACCTATGTCAAACTTGCTTACCATAGATAGTTATTTACTTTTATTTACACTCCACCTTTCTTCCGAAGACTCAAGGTGGATTGAAACGTTCTTATATAGCAACAGGAACATCCAATGTAGGAATCAAATAATAAATGCTACAGTCTACAATAACCACCTCTCTTTTTTAAATCCTTTTTATTTTTAAACTTTACATCAAGTTAACACAGAGTGAAGATAATCATTAACATACTTGCTAGTATAATTTACTCACTGATTAACAATTAAAGCTTCTACATATTGTATTGTCCAAAATTAATTTGTATCAGTGTGAACAGCATAAAAGAAGGAATATATCTTCAGCAATTATGGGTACTTTCCAAGTGTGTTCCAGGGAATGTGGCATTCCTTAGAAACTTATCAGGTACTCCTCAATCAAAAGTTCAGTAGTGACAGTCAAATGTCCACAGAAGATGCTTTGTCCTCCATTGCCTTTCCTTGCCACATACAGCTACAGAGGAACATTTCAGACACAAACCATGGTTTAATTAAACTATGGTTCGTGAGATTATCTGTTAGCTACTTAAGAGAACATCAAGCCCAGAATGTGAAACCCTGATTTAAGATGGTTTATTAATCACAATTAATTTTATGTATGGTTTTGTACAATGTGCAAATGTAGACATCCTGTTCTCCAGCACCACCCTCACTGTAATGCAGGCCAGGAGATCAATGGGGAAAGAGCAAAGGCACTGAAATTAGCACTGCCAAAGCAAACCAAGGTTGAATCATCATTTGTGAACCAAATTCTGGTTCTACAACAAAACCTTTGTTAACATAAACCAATATTTTGCATTATGTCTGAACCAAGCCATGGTTTGTACCAGATAATGTGACCACGTAAACAAAGTGTGCTCCCTAGAACATATTTCAGAATCCTAGTCAACTCCGAAGGATTCTGCCTGGGTTGCTCACTAGACAATGCAGGAATAGTTCTTGAGGCTAGAAAATTTGGAAACAGCTGTGCCATATAACAAGGCACGTGAAAAATAATCACATGTCTGTTTAACACCACACTTAGCATAAACAAGGATCATGAGGCACTAAAAACCTAATGATTCCTGCAGAACAACACTGCCAAAAGGGCTTCTGCAACCTCCTATTATATTACTTAGGCAAGTCAAAATGAAAATTAGTCAACAAAGGTTTTACAAGTAGGGGAACCTATACCAATTGCTATTTTACTGTTTTTAAAGTACAACAGCTCACAAAATGCAACAGCTACTAGGTTCCCCACACACACCTTCATCTTGCAGGTCTCTTGTACTGTACAAGAAATTCAGCAGCTGAACCCCCCCCCCCCCCAATGGAGATGCAGTGATGGGCCAAAGCTAAACTTACCCATTTACTATCTACCATGCAGCTGTTAAAGGAACAGGGGCCTTACGCCGGGGGTGGGGGGGTGGGGTGGGTGAGGGGAGAACTGCTTCCCTATTCACACTATGGCTTAACTTCACTCTCTGCCTCACATCACTATTTTATTTACAAAATGTGTAAAAACCCACCCCCCTCCTTCTGCTCTCATCAGGGCCACCTATGGTTGCCTTCTTCTGTTTTCAAGAACTCTGGTAACTGAAGGCTTCTCCAGAGTACCTGAAACAGAACAGGTGTTTTTATTTTAGGGGGAACCTTGTGGGCAACGTGCTTTGCAGAAAGCTCAAACTATGTTTCCCTTCTAAAAAAAAACATTTTAAAAAACACAGAAGGACAAACTTTATCAGCTCTTTGAAGATTTAGGGCTCCCCCCCCCAGCACTAAGAGCATTACAACAGCAATTCTCTCTGTGCTTTATCAACTACATAAACAGTGGCTCTAAAGAAATTAAAGAAAAAACCTTTTTAAAATATTTGAGGTGTCTCTGAAGATGTGCACAGCGCCATTATAGTGACCACTACTGTTTTTTAAGACACCTTATATGAAATGGAGGAATTAAAGAGAGTAGAACGATGATAAATATATATATATATATATATATATACATTTCACATACAAGCTGGGGAAAGTTTTGTTTGGGTCCTGTTTTTATCTCCTCCTAGTCAACTGGGAACGAAAATATACACTGTGACCCTACTGCCTCGCACCATAAATTGGGGTGGAGGGACTATCGCAATCTCTTCCCACCCTTCCCCCAAAAAACTCAGGACAGTTCTCCCCTCCTTCTTTTTCCCCTAACAAACCCCCCGTGAGGGAAACTGCGCTTGAGATTCGAGCCAGTGTTCCCTCTAAGCTGAGTTAGTGTGAGCTAGCTCACAGTTTTTTAGCCTCCAGCTCACACATTTTTGCCTTAGCTCAGGAAGGACGGCTCCAGAGCAAACTAATTTATGTAGTAGCCAAATCACCTGCTCACAACATTAATGCCAGTAGCTCACAAAGTAGAATTTTGCTCACAGGAGTCCACAGCTTAGAGGGAACACTGGACGAGACTGCAACCGGCCTCCCCTAACCCTCGCCACACTATGTACGAAAACTCCCCGCCCCCGCAACCCTTTACCCCGTCAGCCACTGACCCACTGTCCAAGCAAGCCGACCCCTTCCTCTCCACCTTCCCCGGCTACTTTCAGGTCTTCCCGACAGCTCTTACTATCCCCCCCGTCTAGTACTTCCGGTGTATAGAAAATCACATCCGGCTTGCGAAGGGCAGCCTGAAGACGTTTGCGCTGGGGTTTCGGTTTCAGGCGGAATCCACAGAGGTTCTCCTCTTTTAATTTTTGGTCGTCTTCCTCTTTAATGAGGAAGAAATGGGTCTTGTTTGACTCACAGGAGGACTCTCCCATGAAATTTATGCCGAGAGTTGTAGTTGAGGGGGTTTGTTTTCAATATTTTTCTCTCAGCCAAAACAGGTTCTCGGGGAGACTTGCAAACGCACGAAAATGTAACTCACCAAAATAAATATAACAGAAAACCATAAGCATCGCCGTTTGAATCTCCTCAGTTTGGCTCCCCCCTAAACAACTGTAGTGTAATAACTTGCTATTAGTATCAACCAAAATGACGCAGAGCACAGCAAGCTTTTGGGTACCGCCTGAACCCTTCAGCGGGCTTGGAGGTTAGTACAAGAAACATGAAAAACGAAGGGGGGGGGGCTGCCTGTTGAACTGAACATTCAGCCGGATTAAGAGTTCTTGGTCATGGCTCTCTGACAACTTTGAACAATTTGAGATATGCAAATGACACCACATCACTGGCAGAAAAAGTGAAGACTTGGAAGTGACAGCTGATGAAGGTTAAAGTAGAAAGTGTCAAAGCAGGGTTATATCTGAACATCAAGAAGACAAAAGTAATGACTACTGAGGAATTACACAACTTTTTTAAATTTTTATTTAATTTTGAGTGCAAACAAAGGGATTACACAACTTTAAGGTTGATGATGAAGAAACTGAAATTGTTAAAAGATTTTCTGTTGGCTTGGTTCAATCATCAACCGAAAGGGAGACTACAACCAAGAAATCAGAAGGAGATAGAGACTGGGAAGGGTAGCCATGAAGGAGCCAGAAAAGATCTTTGTGTGTAAGGACTGGTGACCAAGGTCATCAAAATACATGTCATAATATTCCCCATTACTGTGTATGGGTGCGAAAGTTGGACAGTGAAGAAACCCACAGGAAAAAAGGTAATTCATTTGAAATGTGGTGATGGAAGAGTTTTATGGGTACTGTAGACGAGCAAAAAGATAAGTTGGTTATAGATCAAATCAACCCTGAACTCTCCCTAGAAGCTAAAATGACTAAACTGAGGCTATCATACTTTGGTCACATTATGAGAAGATAAGAATCACTGGGAAAGACTAATGCTAAGAAAAGTTGAAGGCAGCAGGAAAAGAGGAAGACCCAACATGAGATGGATCGACTCAATCAGGGAAGCCATGGCCCGCAGTTTGCAAGACCTGAGTAAGGCTGTTAACGATAGGACATTTTGGATGTAATTAATTCATTGGGTCACCATAAGTTGGAAGCGACATGACGGCACAAAACACATACATACACAAGTATGCACAGGATGGTAGACAAAGGCTGCAACCCTAAAAATGCTTTGCTTGGGATAGACACCACTGAATTCTTAGGCTTGCTCCCAAAGAATCTCGTTGCACTTTAATAGCTCACATTTACAATAGAAGAAAGTCTGAGTCCAGTGGCAGGTTTAAGACCAACATAGGCTGCGGTCACACAGAACAGAAGCCACACAAGTGAGACGGAAAACAGGCGGAGTTTCCAGGCGCGATCTCACCAGCACATCTGGGAAGCGTAGCACTCCCGTGGCTCAACCGAGGCTTCCAGCCAAAACTGCGTGGCAAAAAACTAGTACCTCGGAGGTACTAGTTTCCAGATACTGCGGGGCAAGGGCGGGTGTCTGATCGCGTTTCCAGTGGCATCCGGCGCCCGCCCATGTCCCCTTGCACATAAGGTGTGTTTTTTTCTCCAAGTCTCTGTGGATGGGCACACGCACCCAACGGAGCATGCGCATTTGTCATGTACACACAAAAACAAAACAGTTTGCCGCGGCGTGCGCTTCTTCGTTGCGCGCCGGCTTGTCCTGTGATCAGCACCTCTCCCTTGCCATGGAACCTCCACGGTACCTCCACAGGACCTCCATGGGAGGTCTGATCGCTTAACTGCGCAGTAGTTTGCCCCAGGGCAAACAGCCACGCTTCTCCCCCGCAGTTTCCTGCCCGTGTGACCGGGGCCATAGTTTAATTCTGGGTATAAGCTTTTGTGTGCATGCACTCTTCATCAGATACATTGAAACAGTTTTCCTCAAGCCTTACATATAGGTAAAGACTCTCTACCAGAGTTTAATCTGGGTATAAGCTTTCGTCAGATACATTGAAACAGTTTTCCTCAAGCCTTATATATAGGTAGAGAGAGTCTTTACCTATATGTAAGGGTTAAGGAAAACTGTTTCAGTGTATTTGATGAAGTGTGCATGCGCACGAAGGCTTATACCCAGAATTAAACTTTGGCCCCGGCCACACAGGAGGCTTTGATCTGCGAGAGGGATGGATTGGGGGCACAGCAAGCGGGCGCGATCACACTGCAACATCTGGGAAGTAACACGCACCTGTCCCCGATCCATTTCTTCCGGCTGAATATGTGGATCAACCCCCCCCCTACAAAACACTACTACTTACCTGAAAATCCGCAGCATGGGCGGCCGTTGGATCGCCGGATCGCCCATCTCCAGCAGCATGCGAGGCCCCCGGCCAAACTGCGCAGGCGCGCACCTGCGCAGCAGGCTGCCTCACTCACCGATCTGTGGCTCCCCCCCCCGCATCTGATTGTGCCGGGGAGCAACTGCGCGGCGGCTCAGGGGATCTGTCTGATCCCGCCGCCGCTTATCTCTTTTGATGCGGCTCAAAAAAGCCGCACTTCAGCCACATCTTTTCCCCCAGTGTGATGGGGCCTTTGTTGGTCATAAACCTGCCACTGGACTCAAACTTTATTGCTTCAGACCAACACGCTATCCACCCACCTGAATCTATTAACATTTACAATACAATATGTAATGAGAAGTAAATCCTATGGAGATCAACAAGGTTTGTTCTCTGTAACCATCTTAAGATTTTAGCTTTACTGTGTGTTTATGCTAGACAAAAATGTTGCAGGTGCTGAAAGGCCATGAAACAATTTTTTTTGGTGCAACAAGTTTGTTAGTCTTTGAAGTGCCACAAGATTATGTGGGGTGTTACAAATTAACATGCTACCACTCTGGATGTTTTCTAACACAACCATTTTTCTAGTTTGCACAGAGGCTAACAAGTTACTTACTAATAAACTCCAACAGTTTAGGGTCAAATTAGTCAACGCGCTTTTAACTAGACTGGTTTGGGTTCCAAAATGCAGCTGCAAAATGGAGCTACTAGCCTCCCCTCTCCCCCCTGTATTGTCTCAGGAAAATGGTGCAATGGGGGAGGACACCATAGCTCCAAATTGGGCCCTGAAGACTGTTAAAATGCTGTTCCCCAATGCTGTTCTGTGGTTGTGGGGAAAGCAAGTCAGGTCTGGGAACCTGGACCTGATTTGTTTAAAAAATGAATTATGAAGAGCAGCCTCTAACTAGTTTGTAGAGATAGGGTACTGGTTATGGTGTTGGACTGTGACTGGAGATCCACGATCAGACTCCTCCTAAACTGTTAAACTCATTGCCAGATTGTGCTCGCTCTGGCTGGCTCTCTGTCTCTCCTTCTCTCCTTGCCTAAACTATCTCACAAGATTGTCATAATGGTAAAGTGGAACGAAGCACGTGTGCTGCTCTGAGCTCCTTGAAAGAAGAGGGGGAAATCTGATTAATAAATATTTATGTATTTTAATCCTCATTCTTAATCTACAATAAAAGATATGAGGGGTGATCCTGGGTATATATTTGAGTTTTATTATCTATCTGTGACATATTTATAAGTTTTGGGATGAAGGGTAGGATATAACTAATATGAATAACTAATAAGACTGTGTTAACAGATTTACAATAGTTTATTTCAAGGCCATTTGAAATATTGTAATTGATTCATTTTTGTCCCTTTTAAACTGTAACTGTAAATTGTTTTATACATTTAAAACAATTTATTACATTAAAATTAATAAAGCAATCATTATTTAAAAACAACAACCCTATCCTGCTGGATCAGATGCAAGTTTCATCAAACTGCGATATTCTATTTCCAAGCACCAACCAGACAGATTATTTGAGAAACCTACATGCAAAGTATGAAGGCAACAGGCCTCCCCAGATTATCCACATACTCTGGCATCTAGAAGTATACTGCTGTGTGTGGAGGTCCTGTTTAACTATGGCAGATAAGCCACTGAGAGAAACTATCCTGTCTTTTTACAGCCATCTAGGAGAGTAATGAGCCTGTGTGTTCCATTCTTTCACCTTTTCACTCTTTTTGTTAGGAGAGCATAGGACCACTCTATCAGGTAACGAAACTTTCTTGACACTGGGAGGCCCAGTTACAGAAAATCTGATTCTTGCTTGCTTTACTACAGTGCTTTCTCCCCCAACAGGCTTGCAACACTGTGCTCCCTCCCTTCCTTCTCATGTCCTTTTTTCCCAGACTCAGGACATTCTGACCTCATTTTTAAGACAGGGATCCTCATCCCTTTTCCTCAACCAAGGTCATTTAGCTGGCTCACCAGAGGATTCCCGTCTGCTGACAGGCTCTCTGGATAGCTTCCAGAGCTGTGTACACCTATTCCAACTCTCTTTCTTCCAGTTTGCCACGGTCTTCTGAATCCACCCCCATTGCTTTTCTCCCCTCTCAGCTTCACCTGTGTGTGTGGGAGGGTCTCTTTAAAGTCTTAGTTATTGGAACACATCTTTCTTGTCTCCCTCTAACTCCTGTCCTGTTTCTATGAAGACCACACCTCCCTCATCTGTCCTTGCATATTCCTGTTTGCCTCTGATTTAGGAGAGCCATGACGAGAAGATTCTGTAGCAGAAAACAAGCTAGGCTGGCAAGGGTGAGTCAAAGCCTCTGACGCACCATTTCAGAGATCAGCCATCACAGTGTTTTGTAGTAATGTGCATTATGTGCAAAGGTCTGGTTCTACAAATCTCTCCACCTCAACGTACTCCCATCATCTCAGCTCT